AACGACAGTGCTACAAAGTGAAATGTGTTTCGGTTCTAAAAATAAAAATATATGTGTTTCGGTTCGGTTTGTGTTTAGAACACGAACCGAACCGAAACCATTGAGATACCCATTTGCTTAGCTAATACCCGAACATGAAGTTGACCCGGCCCGAAAATACCCAAAACTTTGGGTCGGATCGGGTCGGTTCGTGTTCCGGTTCGGGTATATTGTTTGGTTTTGACACCCCTAACATCCATGAAGAGAGCAATGACGATAATCCACGGCAAACAATGAGATTACGAGTTTGAAACTATGTCTCTCTCAATCTCAAGCTCGAGATTTACTCACAATCTCTTATAGTGTTTTCTTTTCAAAACTCATACAAAGAACCCCGGAGACATTCTCAAGATGGTCTAATGTGTAATCTCAAACAGATTAAAAAAAATAAAGCTTTTGAATCTCGAGCTTTCGACCAAAAAAAAAATCCCAAGTTAGGCTAACCATGATAATAGTTCCATGATCAACTAGAGCTGGCTAACCATGATCAACAATGGTCGACCAAACTCCCTACCATGGCCAACTAAAGCTTTCCAACTATAATTAACCAGCGAACGAGTTTCGATCCTCGCTCGAGTTGTCGACTAAAACTCGAGACATATTCGAGACGGACAATCCTGCATGAAGTTGATATCAAGTGCATATACATGTTAAAATCGAATCCTTAACACTGTAATCTCTATTATCCCAAACAATACCTCACAAATCCCTTGAGTCAGATAAAAGCAAAGCGAAAACTCAAGTGAGTAACCTAACTACGAGGTTGTTCGAATCGTTGGTGTGAGAGATCGAACTTCCGTTACACAGAAGTTCATTCTTTAATCACCAAACCAATCTCACGAGCCTACCGGTCCAAGCCGAAAATAGCTTATTAACAAGGAGAAGTTTTCTAATCTTCATCGATTTTAGGGGGGGTGGGGGGGAGGGCCATCAATTATTTGGTCTGTTGTGTGATTTGGACATCGTTTTGGAACTGCATGCGAATGCTAAAAAGTCTGGCCTTGCGTCACGGTTCAAGTGGGAGGTGAAGTCACCAAAGCCTCTTTTGCTTTCATGCGCGTTTATGCACTACCCCCGTGCATTGCATCTGCATTAGATTCCTTTCTTTTGCGGTCATTTTTAATCCGGCCTGGATCTAAAAGTCCTTGGCATGCCGGTTCATGATTTAAAAAAGAAGAAGTAAGCACTAAGCGTGCTAAAAGCTCTTAAACTTGTCACGAAAGTATAATTGAGTCTTAAAACTTTTAAAAAGTACGATCGAGTCATAAAACTTGTCAAGAAAGGACAACCGAGTTCTGAAGCCTAAAAAAAGCGCAATCGACGGAAGGACTTGATTGGACCAATTTGACAGATTTTGAGCCTTGTTTGCTCGGGCTTTGCCTGATTCGCGCTTCGAGTCTTGTTGGCTTGGAGAGGCGCTCGGCCGAAGATGAGGTCGATTGTAGAACTTATATCGAAGCTCGATAAAACGATTGCAATTTTGTTATTTGGGCCCCACAGGGGTGGATATAAAATCACAATTCAATATTTGAAATTGAACTAAGAATGATTGTTCTAATTTTTTTTTTAGCTCGACCTGATCTTGATCGATATTCTATAAACAAAATATAAAGAAAAGAGCAAATACCATAAATAAATAAAAAAATCCCAAGCTTGCCCACTGTAGCACAAATACCCTAAATTTTTTTTCCGTATCACCAAAAATCCTAAACTTGCCAACTGTGACACAAATACCCCAAACCTTTTTTTTTGTGTCGCGAAAAAATTGAAACTTATACATATGTGACATATATACCTTCTATTTCAGTTCCATCCAGAGTATATTTGTCACATTTGAAAAGTTCGGAGTTTTTTATGGCACAAAAAAAAAAGTTTAGGTTGTCTATGCCGCGATTGGCAAGTTTAGAGTTTGTAACGACAAAAAAAAAAGTTCGGGCAATTTGTGTCACAATAGGCATAATTCGAGTTCTTTGTGTATTAACCCTAAAGAAAAAAAATAAAATCCCGAGCGACAATTGCCTTATGAAGATTCGCTTTCGTTACGGCTCCGACGGGTGCGTTAATCAAGACCTCTCGCTCGAGCATAAACAACCGTTCGGTGCCATCACTTGTCCATCCCCGAACTCGAGCGATCAAACCATAAAGGAGCGACGATACAATAGGGAAAGTGATTTGATTAACCTGTAGACATCGTAAGTCCGGGCACCGATAAGCAGGTGCACCGGGGCTTCCACAGCCCTTCAATGGATCGATACGTTGCTGCAAAACGGAATATCCCGGAATTTCGGGTCAACAACCGGCGAACTATTTTAATTCACGACGCGACGTGACGACCGTTAATCTCTCCATAAAATTTGGGTAGGAAATCCGCATGCCTTAGGCGATCCCCAAAACTCTCGACATTGCACTCCACCGAATCCCGCCCCCTGAATTCGCAAAAAGATTTTTTCAAACCCCACGGGGCGTCGTCAGAGATTCTCCTCTTCTGACACCCCCCCTGCCACCCCCAACCACCGGCGAAGGAAGATGTCCCGCAAGTCAGTGACATTGACTTCACCTGCCCCCCCCCTCTCGTCTCCTGATTGGCCGTCGCCCCGGTGAAGTCAACAATACTAGGTAGCACGGGAATATTCCCGAACCAACCCCCCCCCCCCCCCGACCCGACCCCCAAAAAAAAGGGGAAGCACGTGCGAAGAAATTGCACGGGAAGCTTCCACGCGGTGGGGGGGCGCGATTGGGGCGAGATTATCTCGGGGGGCCGTACAATGTATCGCGAGATGCGACGGCGGTCTCGAAATATCGGGAGACGACAGGAGGCGGAGGGCGAGATATTGTCGCCGGCCGGCCGGGGAGCGGGGGGGCGGAGATATTTTCCGGGGCTCCTCCGCCTTTGGTTTTGACGGAAGGAGAGAGAGAGAGAGAGATACTAACGGAGCGTAGTACCAAAACCGGCGGAAGTTGTTTTTGGATTTTTTAGGCCCAAGACACACTCTCCATTGAAAGATTTGTACGCTAATGTTGCCTTTATCCGTGGCCTCATTTGTCAAAAAGAAAAGTACAAGGTGTACTGCTAATTTCGTGTCGCGACAAAACGGGCCGGACGATATTATTCATTTTATTTGAATATTTAATTATTTAAATCATGCTTTCGTCCGATAATTTGTGCTCTGGAGATGGTCGGAAGCGGTTCGAATCTTTTTCGGGCCATTGTCTGCTTCCCCGATCGGGTATTTCCATGATTACATTTGACACGTCTGAATCTTCTCGAGCGAGACTATTGAATGGGGAGTTTATTTTGTTAAACCGATCGTCTTCTCCCAAACCACTTAGAATTTCTCGTTGGCGCGTGCGAAACAAAAGGTGCTTTTTAATCGCGTTGATGGAATAACAGTAGGAAGGAGAACGCGGGGAAGAGTAGAAGCAACGGTTTTTCACGTCGATCGGGTAAAGACGAGGAGGGTGTGTCGGGATTCGAATTTGTGCCGTGTCCCCTATCTCGCATCGAAACATTAGAGTGCTAAAAAAGGCGTGTCCCGTGGACAATGCGTCGAATATTGCAGTTATCCCGAAAAAAAGTACACCGCGGTCCAAAAAAATCACGTTCATTTAAGAATTTTTGTATGGAGCAGTATCATTCTATTCAATAACATTGAAAATAATCACGAAAGAGAAATTCTAACCTCAATTCGACGAATCTATATCTCGTATTTATTTATTCTTTGAAGATATTTTGGATGATAGCGACATTTTGCTATATAATAATTTTGGCGGATTCTAAATCCTCCTAGATATTACCAAATCCGTGCATATAGGCATAAATTGAGACTTACATTGGCTGTTCTGATTATGTTCCTTTCTCTTAATATATATAAATAAACAAATTTATATGGTATCAAGTTCAATTGAAAAGATTGTTATCACTGGACGATCTCACACTAATATGGAACACCTCCCCCCACAAGTTCAACGCAGCTAGCACGAGCTTCGCGAGTCACCTAATTGCGATTGATCTTGTCTATCAAATTCACTGCCTGAATAAGTTACTTCTAAATTCTCGAGCATCTTGTGTTGGCTTGTATTCCTAAAAAATTTTTCAACTTTTGGGTCTACTTTAAATTTTGCCCCGAACTTTGTTTTCGTCGGAAAAAAATTTACAACCTTTCGCTTTAGTCCCAAAATCTATCCCGAGTAAACCCTCCGACCAAAAAATTGTCATTGATTTCTTCAAAGTTATTGTTAAAGTACCGTGCTACATCGCTTGACAACGGGTGCTAAATACTTTTTATATTCACGTGGTATCCCTTCACTTATCAGCTTAAGTTTTGGGGTTAGACTTTCTAACACGATATTAGAGCCGATATCATCCATTTCGCGAATGTGCATCCACCCACATTAGTCAAATTCCACGTGCCGCTCGTAATCCAGCTTGCACGTGAGAGTAGAAGTTGAAACAGCGTCCTGCATTACTCGACAACAGGTCCTAAATACTCTTTATATTCAAGTGATATCTATCCACCGTCAGCTTAAGTGTTTGGATTGGATATTTTAACGGTTATCAACATCAGCGCCGCTTGGAAGAAGAAGAAGAAGAACAACAGCAACAATAGCCTATCGATATCGATAATTTTAAAGAAATCAGCGACGATTGGTGATAAAATTTGGGATCAGAGTGACGATTGGTGATAAAATTTGGACAGAGGATTAATCGGGGAGGTTAAATTTGGGATCAGAGTGACGATTGGTGATAAAATTGTTCGGGACAGAATTGAAATCGGACTTAAAAAGTCTGAGATATTTTGGTGGAAAGATTTTTTTTTTTTGCCCTCTCTCTTCCCGTTAGGTTTGTCTAAAAGGAGCGGTCTTCCCTCTCACCGATGTTGATTAATCGTCTCTTCTCCGCAGCGGAACAGGCCAAAAGGGCGCGAGAAACTCAGGATTTTCCCGAGAATCCAGAACGGGGAAAAGCGAGGGAAACGCCGGGAAAAAGGAAGAGAGAGAAAAAGCAGGGGGTCGAGCTCGATCCATGTCCGCTTCCCTCTGGCGGAATCTCCCAGTCTTTCGGCCGTGATTCGGAGCAGTGAGAAAGCCAGCTTTTTGGGCGGCAAGAAAGAGGGGAGGAAAGGAAAGGAAGAGAAGGGTCGCAGCAGGGGGAGAGCTGGGAAGTGAGGGAGGGAGCGTGGGAAGCGAAAGCGGCGGCGGCGGCGGCGGCGTCGGCGGCATGGGGATACTGCACGAGGACGCGGTGGTGATTAGCCAGTCGGAGAACGGGAGCGGCTCGACCGTGATCACCGTGAACTGCCCCGACAAGACCGGGCTGGGCTGCGATCTGTGCCGGATCATATTGCAGTTCGGTCTGAGCATTTGCAGGGGAGGTGAGTGAGCTCGTGAAAACCTTTTAGCCTCGCGGGCAATGCTTTTTCGGGGAGGTCGAGGTTGTTGCGGGATGATGGGGGGTTTCGATCTTTCTGCCAGTTGCTTTCCAATTCTGAGAGATGGCTTTATGGGTTTGTTGAATTCTTGATCTTCAGCAGTGCCCTGCCCTTTCTAAATTTAGCTTGTACTGAGGTGGAATGGTTCATTTAGAGCTAGATGAATGGTGGTGGGATTGATGTTTACTGTGTATATATTAACATCCCGGAGATTGAAATCTTGTAAATGACCTGCTGAGCTGCTATGAGATTCATACGTTTTATCGGCTTGTTTTTCGAGCTTCTCCGTGCGGGAGCCGGGTTTTCTGGGTTCATTTTGGCAGTATATGTTGCTTCGTTTATCTGGGGAATCCATGTAGAGATGAGATTTTGCTCTGTTTCTGTACTGCAGATTTGTACACCGACGGGAAATGGTGTTATGTACTGTTTTGGTTGGTGGGGAGGCCGGCGACCGGGTGGAATTTGTTGAAGAAGAGGCTGCTGGATGCGTGCCCTTCGTACTTCTCGACATCGGAGATCGAGTACTACAGGCCCGAGAACAAGCAAGCAAGGCCACCTGATGTCTTCCTGTTAAAGTTCTGGTGTTCATATGATCGCAAAGGCTTATTACATGGTAGTGCTTCTTTCACCTAAATTTTTCTTCTTTCTTCGCTAATTACACGGAATTAAACTCGGATTGTTTTGGGTTAGTAGTACATGGCCTTCCGCATTTAAGTAGGGGTGTCGTGTCTGGTTGATTGAACAAAATCAAGCATCGTTTATAATTCCACTGAAGAATCATTATTGTGATCCCTTATATGTTGATCCGACTCCTTGTCTTGTTTAAACAAAGGAAGTGCATCCCGTAAATTGAGATACAGGTCAACATGATTGGATGAAGTGAAGCTATGAGATTTCCCTTGTCATGGTACGAGGGAAGAACTCCTGTGCTTGCTTTCGTTTTAGATGGGAAAGATGAAATCACCTCAAACATCTTACCCACCTAACATTTAATCTACATAACAGAGAATTTAAAAGACTTATTTTTCAGAAAATATGTCAGTAAATACACGTATTTACTGCCACCCTCCATCATGATCTGCTGTCTGTTTCTCTTGCATGCAGAGAGTGCGAAGCTCTATCGGTTAACGAAGTTTCAAGTAGAGGAGTTTAATTTATACTGATCAATGTCCTTTATTTCACCGGCAGATGTGACAGAGGTTCTGTGCGAACTAGAACTGACGATAAAGAGAGTAAAAGTATCCACAACTCCAGATGGGAGAGTGATGGACCTCTTTTTTGTCACAGACTCCAGGTTTGTCATCACCAGTTGTTCCCCTTTTCATTTGCTCAGTTAACGCGTTTAGCCAATGCGGTGCTATTGTTATCCTTGAGTGCCTCAGTCATTTAGAGAAAAAGTAGAAGTCAAACTCTTTCCGATGGCATTTTATAGCAATAGCATCAATTTGAAATGCCTTTCGTCGTGCATCAACTATCCGACACTTTGGGGTCAAGTTCATAATCGAAAGCATCAAACCGTTATATGCAGAACCGGAAATTAGTAGAATGCGAAGCCTTGACTTTTAAGTAGGTCTTTTAATCGTGCTCGTGTATGAACTGAACTGAAGTCCATTAGGCTTGTCACCTGTATGTTGACAGCCTTCTTATATTATAAAAGGAGCATGTATAGAACTTCACTTAAAGATTTATCTAGCTGCAAGAGCAGGAATGCTCTCTAAGGATATAAAACGCGGGGGTTTCCAGTGTCTTATTCTCATGCCTGAATCAGAGAGCTACTTCATACAAAGAACAGACAGGAGGAGACGATCAACCATTTGAGAGAAGTACTAGGGGACACAATGGTGAGTTGTGAGATTGAACTGGCTGAACAAGAAGTCACTGCATGCTCACAGGGTTCTCCATTTCTTCCTTCTGCAATTACTGAGGAAACTACCAGTTTAGAGATGCTAGATGGGAATCGGAGCAGTTCTCATTTCTCAAACCCTGTATTTGTTTCAATGGACAACTCTCTGAGTCCCTCACACACAATCGTTCAGATCGAATGTCGGGACCACAAAGGCCTCATTTATGATATCATGAGGACGTTGAAAGATTTGAATATCCAGGTGAATAGTATGGCTTTTGAGGGCTTTTTTATTGATCAAAATGCTATTTCCCACTTTCTAGACACAACAAACATCCAACAAAGGCAAGCACTTTTATTCTTATGGATTTTCTCCCGTCTTCTCAGATCTCTTATGGACGGTTCTGGGCGAACTCTAGAGGGAACAGTGAGGTAGAGTTTTTCACGATGCATGCAGATGGAAGCAAGATTGTTGACCCCACCGAGCAGAACGACTTGAGCTCTTGTTTGAAAAGGGAGCTGCGGAGTCCCCTCAGAGTGGCTGTGGTTAGCCGAGGCCCAGAGACCGAGCTGCTAGTTGCAAACCCAGTTGAATTGTCTGGAAGGGGTCGCCCTCTTGTGTTTTACGATATTACCTTTGCTCTGGAGATTCTCACTACCCGAATATTTTCAGTAAATATTCCGACCACTTTGTGATCCTGCATAAATTTAAAATATTCTCACTTGTAGTCTCGACTGCTTTACAAATCTCTTTCCATCCTTATCATTTCAGGTGGAGATAGGGCGACACATGATATGCAACCGGGAGTGGGAGGTCTATAGAATCGTACTAGATGAAAGGGACAGTTCGTGTGTGCCGAGAGAGAAGATTGAAGAAGGCGTTCGAAATCGACTGATGGGTTGGGATAGGGGGTAAAAGTTTGGTACCGGTCGAGTCTTCCATCATTGTACAGCTATGTTTACTCCTTTGGCATCTTCCTGGTCTAGGCTCTCCAACTGCAACGAGTGTAAATAGAGTAAAGCATAATGTGAAATGGTAAGCTGTCAATTTACCCTTTCTAGCTTTTATTGTTGGGCAAGAGATTGCGTCGTCGGCCACATCTCAGTCTCACTTAATTTTTCTCCACTTTTATTTTTTACCCTCTCAAATGCAGAATCATAGCATGAATACAACAGCACCAGAATTTTGCCTGGTTTAGTAGCAGGTAGAGTTGTTTACCAGTCGGGACTTTGATTAAGATAGTGACATGCCCTTTAATCCAGAAGCCGTGTACTCTGAAGTTATCGTCCAGAGTGTCACTAGTAAAAAGTATTCCCAGAATTTGGCCCACAAATTGCAAGGACTATCTGTATCAGACAAACTGTACGAGTGCCTTCTTTCGGACTTTTTGAGTTATTGAAAGGCTGCACTTGCGAAATTGGTTTGCTACAGTAGAGATAAACGGGTACATCATTTCCATTACCCCAATGTCTGAGAGGGCAAGGTTTCAGACATTCCAAAAAATGTTGTCTTTGTCAGCACCGGGTCGAGAGAGAGAGAGAGTTGCGGTGCTGTTTGTTTATAGAATCAAGGTTTGTAGGAGTGCCGATATCCCTAGGCGACTGAGGAAACTCCATCTGACTGTGTCCACGTGCTTCTATATCTCAGCGATGAGAACAAAGCTACCCTGTTGTTCATTACTTAAGTTGGATTAGCAACTTCTAGATCATTCGCACTTCTCCTTTTTCTGCCAATAGGTTTTTTTCGCCAACTCTTTTTGTTTCGCATTGTCAACCATAACTGGCCTTCTAGGTCAGACCAAGCATCAGCAAATATTCATTAACTGCACTTGCTTTTCGCCTTGCTTTGATCAATGGAAGTTGACATAATCTCCAGAGAAACGATCAAACCATGTTCACCCACACCCCTTCCCCTGAAAACCATCAAACTCTCTTTCTTAGACCAACTCATTCCCCCATTTTACACGCCACTGATCTTGTTCTATCCTGCGATCGGCAACAACAAGGTCGAAATCAATTTGTTCCTGTCCATATTGAAGACATCTCTCTCCAAGGCACTCCCTCGCTATTATCCTCTTGCTGGGAGGATTTCTGATCATTTCTCCATAAGTTGCAACGACGAAGGCGCTTTTTATAGTGAAACACGGATCCATTCCCGAATCCACGAGTTTCTTGAAAGTTCCAATTTAGAATCCCTCAATCGGTTGCTTCCTTTCCAACCGTTTGTGAAGCAGCTATATCCTTCTGTGCCCCAAGTAGCTGTCCAAGCGAACATCTTCGAATGCAGAGGACTAGCGATCGGCGTTTGCATGTTGCACAAAATCATAGATGCTGTCACGATGAGCAACTTCCTTACCACTTGGGCGACCATTGCTCGTGGATGCGCTGAAGAGTTCCATACTGATTTCCACGCAGGATCATCCCTCTTCCCGCCAAGAGATCAGTTGCCTGACGAGTACTCATCCGCCATGGACAAGGGATGGTTCATGGAAGGAAGGTACGTCACGAGGAGATTCGTGTTCGATCCGAAGGCAATACACATCCTCAAAGATAGAGCCAGAAGCGAAAACATAGCGAACCCAACCCGATATGAGGTTCTCAGCTCGTTTATATGGAAACACGCCATGGCTGCCTCTAGGGCGGCATCAAAGTCACCCAAACTCTCCGTGTCGATAGACTCAGTCGACACGAGATCAAGAATGGAGGAGCCCTTGTCCAGGAACACGATCGGCAATCTTTTATGGTCTGCAACATCGGGTTTCGAATCTGCAAGGACAGAGATAGGCCTGTCTGACTTGGTGACCATGACAAGAGAATCCATTCGGAAAATAAACGGCAATTACTTCAAAACTTTACAGGTCGATCAGGGGTGTTCCATGATTTACAACGGCATAAAGCTCATGCTCGAAAACTTCTCCCAGGAAAGCCCGGATTCATTCGGATTCAGCAGCTGGTGCAATCTGGGCTACAGAGAGACAGATTTCGGGTGGGGAAAGCCCGTATGGGTCGGAATCTGGGGAGGAGAAGCATCGCCATTCAGGAACCTTGTCATTTTCCTGGAAACTCAAAGCGGCCTAGGAATCGAGGCATGGATGACCCTGGATGAGCACATACTGTCAGCCCTAGAAGGAGACGACGAGTTCCTCGCATTCACTTTGCCAAACCCGAGCATCCCGAGCGCGTAGCCAAGCGAGCTACTGATGTTTGTGTTTCCAAAGTATTTCCCTTTTGCAAGAAAGTAGAGTGACTGTGAGTACCCCACTCTACTCCTGTAACGTGTGAATGGAATAGTGAAGAGGGAAGGCTTCTAAGTTCCGACGTTCTTGCATCGAAGTCGCGACGACTGCGAGTTGCGCTCGAAGAAGACACAGCGATAGGGGTCGCAGAATAATTCACATGTCGGAATCCTCGAATTCGTCCTGCCCAAAGGATGACCTGCGTGGCGAGCTTCAATCGGCTTTTCTTATCAATAAATATTTAATGGAGATTAGGAGCGCATTGGGTTGCTGTGGTGTAGTGGTTATCACGTTAGTCTTACACACTAAAGGTCCCCAGTTCGATCCTGGGCAGCAACATCTTTACATTCATTTTCCTCTTCTTTCTTCCTTTTCCGCAAGCCCATTTCGAGTTTTTGTTTACGTTCTTGAATAAAAATAATGCCGATAATGAAGTGGCTGAATTAAGAGAAAAAATTTATTTGCATATATTACTTCGCATCCGATTTTGGGCTATATCATAATCAAGAACAATGAAGTGGCTGAATTGAGAGAAAAAATTTACTTGCATATATTACTTAGCATGCGATTTTGGGCTATATCATAATCGAGAACTTTCTTGTCTCCTTTGTTTTGTTCTGAGGAGGTCCCTATATGATTATCACCTTTTGGTAAAACGCGACATACAAAATGGAAAGGCGCGAATGCCATCTTACAAAACCAAAGGACTTGGAATTCAACATTTTGCCCAAGAAAGGTATAATCCCAAAGGTGGAGTTAGAATAAGGGTTAAAAAACTACAAAAACAAGAGAAATCCGACCTGCCGGATTCGAACCAGCGACCTAAGGATTACTATGAGCGTTACCCACTACAGTCCTCCGCTCTACCAACTGAGCTAAGGTCGGATCGATGCACTGGGATCGCAACATTTTATATAAAACACAACTGTAACACAATTTATCACGTCCTGCTCCCTCGAGACCAAATGGTCGTCGCTTGACTTTTCCAAACCTTCTCAGACTCTACCGAGTATTCCTCACCAAATTGTCTTTAATGTCCAATGCCAAAAGCTCTTAATTCACCCTTGAACGGGAGGTGGTCTTTGGGAAAAGGTCTCCCCAGTCCTATTTGTGGAGCTCTTCCTATAATCGACCTCGAGGCTGGCATCGCCTCGGTGTTCCATTGATTAATGTTAAGTCTTATTTTTGTTTCGGTAGGCGAAAGGGCGGAGGCGTGACCAATATTGGCGATCATTCCTAGACCTTACTTCGGACGGTCCGGCATGTTACGGAGTGCTTGATTCGAGCCATACTTATTGCCCTCCTGACAAAAATTTGGTGTGCCCATCGGCGCAAAACACGTTGTTCGGACAGGTCGTCCTTCCAGCTGAGGCATCAGCCCCGCGTGCGCTCTATTCAAGTTCCGAATCCACTATCCCTCGGTGAACGAGGGAGTTTCGACACTATCCCTGTCGACCACGTGTTCCGATCGCTCATCCCGGGTAAAAGCGCTCGAAAGAGACGCAAATATATAGTACGCGAAAGCCATGAACGATACAGCAGGAAAGGATCGATGGTACGATCAAAGCTCCAATGGGAGTCAAATTAGGAAAAGCCAACAAAGCTCGCCCACCAAGTCGTGTTTGATGGTTAAGAAAAAGGAAAAGTTCTGTTCGATCTCCAACACCAAAGTGGAAACAAACTTTCTCCTTCTTCCTCTGTTTTTTAACCCCTTTTTCCATACGGATGGCATCATGGCATATGTCAATGATTGACCAAGAGGGGTTTTCTTCTGTTTTTCTCTCGATTCGGCTACTTTAAAATAAGCCATATCGGTATTTTCCATTGATAAATTAGACGGTATTAACTTTAAGACTCGATCAAACTAATTCGACAAGTTTCAGGGCTTTGATTGTACTTTCTGTAAGTCTCATGACTCAATTGTACTTTCGTGATAAGTTTTAGGACTTCAATTGAACATATCTCTCGATCTTTAATGCAAAAGTGGAAACAAGCTTTCCCTCTTCTTTCTCTCTGTTTTTACCTCCCATTTTTATATCGGATGGCATCAGGGCATATGTCAATTTAATCAACCAAAGAGGGGTTCCTTCTGTTTTTGCACTCTTTTGGTAAGCCGAAGGTGACCGGCGCCGACCCCACCCCACCCGACCTATTTCTTGCCCGAATTAGGTAGGGGGGCATTTCGGTCATTTCCAATTGGCAAGAAGGGGGCTTATCCACTGGTAAGTCCACGGCAGGTCCACGTCGGCACGAGGGGGGGGAGGGGGGACGGACGGAGGGAAAGCGAAGCGTCGTACGAAAAACCGCCGCGAGCTGCATCCCCGCTTCCCTCGTTATTACCGAAAGCCCCTACAAATATTACCATCCTTTGTTCTGTCGCTCTTCTCTGTCCCTGTCTCTCTGTCTCTCCGTTCATTTGCGTCTCTCGCTCCGTTCTCTCCTTCCGGGAATCTCCGGAGGCGCGCGCATTGGCGGTGGTGCGGTCCAGGGAAGAGGAAAGGGTGAGTCTTGGGTTGCTCTTTCGTGGTTTCTTGCCGGTTCTTGCTTGCTTTTCGGTCGATTCCGTCCGGCGAATTTGCTCCGGGGGCGCGGTGGTAATGCCTTTTTGATGGGTTTTTGGGGATTGTCAGGAGGAACGGGTTGTTGGGTGTGTGAAGGTGGTGAGTTCTTTTGCGTGCAGTTTCTTGAGTGTCGTGGGAAGTCAAGAACCGATCTTTTTTTTTTCCTTCTTTTTTCGTTTTCTGTTAATGGGCACGTGTTTCACGTTCTGGTGGGTAGAGGATGTCGTGATTGGGAAGAATGTGGGGCATAGTTAAGCCGGGCTGTATTGGGTACTGGCAAAGGATGTGAGAGAGGGACTTGGAAAAATCTTTTTGGAGTGTTGCGATAGCGGTTGGGAATGGTGGTCTGCTTGATCTTTGTGGGAAGTGGATTTAGTAGAGATATGATTGCCGAGCTTTGCAATGTTATCGTTTTATGTGCTATTTAATCAGCAGGGCAGAATAGGAGAGAGATTCTTCTAGGTACCTGAATGCGATGAGAAAGAAGGAGTGGCATTTGTTCTGCTGGGATTGATTTTTAAGGGGTGAGAGCATTTGTGGACCAGAATCCCTTGCCAGCGAGCTAAAGCTTCTCTAATATTGACTTTCGTGATGCTGCAGTAGGATGAATGGGAACTCTCCCTCGGACATTGTAAGCAAGTTCTCGCCATGATTTGTAATTGTTCCATTAGTTTTCTCCGCTTTCTTTGGTATGTCTATTGAATGTGGAAAACTCGGGAGGCAGTTGTTGATCGAATATGTCGTCTTGTGCCATAAGAAGAAAATTCATTAGGTATTTGTAATTAACAAAAAAGCTATATGCCCATTACGAGGCCATGTGAACGTGTTTTGATAGAAAGTGAATGCTCCTCTATTCATCATTTGAGTTTTAGAGAATCTCTCAGCTTTCAGGGCAGTCTTGGATTTATTTTACAGAGTGCATTACAGGGGAAAAGCATTGGACGTGCACTTAATTCAACTTGCTCGCTCATTGTTTTTTGTTTTTGTGTAATTAATGATATGAAGTAGTTACTTTATGCAGAGCAATGTAAATGGAAATCTAGTTGGATTTCAAGTGGCGTCATCCATTGACAGAAACTGCTGTGGATCTTACAAGGGAATACCAATCCTTCACCCTCCGTGTCTCCATAGAAAGGGATGGTTATTTTTGCCCGATCTTATGGATGTTACTACTGGGAACTCCCCTTTCAGTGAAAAGCAAACTGTGGAGCCTTGCAAGGCTTTGGAAGAAGGAAAGGAGGCTGTAGGAAAAGATGCAAACACATCTTTGTTTGTCAATCACGGTATACTCCTCTTTCTAGATGGTTAAGGTTACCTTGAGTCATTGACATGAATTTAGTATAAGGTAATGTCTGTTGCGGTCTCACTAAGAGAAAAGCAGTTTCTCAGCTTTGCTACATGGCAAAATCACATAATGTAGGTTTGGCAGTTCAAGTTTGGAATGAAACAAGTAGAGCCTTTAGTACTGACTATCAAATCACATTAATTATGATCACATATTGCAGAATTAGCTTGACCTCTGGCTTTTTCATACTTCATGTAGTAGTAATTGTTGGAAGATAATCATTGTATTGTTCTTAGAAATGTATGTCATGTGTCTCTGTTTTTCTTTATGAAGAAGCTTGTTGATAGTAAGTGGTGCGAAGAAGCTGGCAGAAAAACTTGTTAGAACTTTAGAATGTCACTTTAAGGAGTAAGCAATGATCTATCTAAACTCTCATAATTCTGGGATTCACCTAGACTGGCTAACATACCCAATGGTTATTACTCTTGATAGTCATACCGTTCTTAATTCTAGCCAGTGGGGGAAAGTGGAAAGAGGCGGGAGCTTCTGTGGTCTGCCACATGTGAAAGTGGAAGATGCTATTGTTCACAGACATGTTTGGAAGCCATCCCCTCTTAATAACTCCACGAAGTGGCCCTGTAATTACTCGGTTTTGCCGGTTGAGTTACAAATAATCTAAAAGGATGCAGCCATGGCAGTCAATCAATGTTCTTTGTAGAATGTCTTTCATGGAACCTCTTTTACCCTTTTTCGTCCTTTAAGATGATCTTATTTATGATAGATAGATGCAACTGACATCTGCAAATGGAATAGTTTTCTTTCTGTTGAAGGAAAATTTGAAAGCATATCGAATATAATCTTCTGCGTTAAAGAGGAATATACGTAACATTTTGAACATTTGAGCCTCCACAAGAAAATACATGCTATCAAATGAACTGAAGCACAGTCTAGTGCATCATTAATTTCATGCCTTTATTTCCAATCCATCTTGGCTACTCATATGCAGATATACCTGTCTATGGTTCTTTGTGCTTATACAGAAGCCCCATATTAAATTATTCTGTGGAAGTAGATCTTAGCTAAAACAGAAAAGGAAATAGAAAAGTTTTATTGTGTGATGAATCTCATCGAGGTATTAAAACTTCACTAGTCATCTTTTGGCTGGTCATGTGGGGTTGATATTTATGTGGTCTTTAAGTAAAATATGGCATTTATACGTATTGCAGCGGCAGTAGCTTGGCATGAGAGTAGAAGGAAGTGGGTTGGAGATCAGACTCAAAGATCACCAAAAGTGCTCAAGGACGAAATTATAAGGTACTGATATTTCAATTGTCTTACAACTTCTTGCAAATAACTTCTCTAGGTTGGAGTCCCGCACTGATTTCAGAGTGTTGCTTTTTTTACCATTAGTTTGGTCTGTAGAGCTTTTGTACGTGGGTTGGAATTGGTGTTGCCTGTTTGTGGTAGAAGGAGCCCCCTTTTTTTTGTACTTTTTAAAAAAAGCAGCATTGATTTCTGCATATGCATGTGACTTTGATACCGCCGTTTAATGATATGGATTAAATAGACACTTTAAGGTATGTATTATTTCGATCAAAAAAAAAAGGTATGTATTATTATTTTGATCTTTCATACGGATAAGGATATGAAGCAAATACAGAAATATATGCGTGACTGACCTACTTAAAATAAATATGAATAAGTCCTGCGATATATTAGATGCCTCTTTGCCATGTTGGATTAAATAAACGAATACTCCCAATGCTCCAGCTCTATTTGTAAAAGGAGTTAGAAAGCATTTCTTAAGTTTGAAATCACAGGCTTAGATGAAAAAAGAGCTGCAAATGACTCATTGCAAAGGGATGTTCCAGCAAAACCCGAATAACTTCTTTGCACCATGCTTTTAAAATTGCTACTTGTCATCCATGCTTTTAAAATTGCTGCTTGTCATCTAATTTGATAACTGTTAAGCCCCTCCTAATCGGTATCTCTTCTTTTATGTATTCTTTTTACTCAATATTTGAGCGAGTGATAGTGATCTGGCTATGCCACTGTGAACCTCTAACAACATGAGGGATGTTGTAGTACCTATTTAGACAACTTGGATGCTTAAGTGTAATTTCTTGTAGGAATTCTGTTTCTTCTTCTCTTTGTAGCCTTTGAATATCATTCTTCATTTGTGTTGTGTCTCCATCAATGTTCACACCTGCTCTTCTATATACCGGGGTGATTGCAAAAACTGACTGTGAATTGTTACTGTTGCAATTCAGCTGGTCCACAACTTACGAGGAACTTTTATCGACTAATGAACCGTTTTCTGAGCCCATTCCTCTTCCGGTGAGACTAATATGCTACCTTTTCTTGTGTACATAATTAAAACATGCTACAGCTAGGGTTCTACGGACATATACTTGATGTACGCACACTCGCAGCCGGCTTGTTACTCAAGAAATACATTAGCATATAGCTATAAAGAAGCTAGATGTAAAATATGCTTCATTTCTCATGTCTCGAACATTGCATCGAGAGATTGCAAGTAATAAACTTATTTGAAGAAATCCTGCTCTGGATTCAGTAAATTACTAGCAGCTAACATGGTGGGATGTTGATTATCTTGCAGGAGATGGTCGATTTTTTAGTTGATATCTGGCACGACGAAGGCCTCTTTGATTAGACTGTGGATCTTTCTCGTCATTCTGTAACATGATGAAGACAATCGGTAGAGGAAATACTCGAATTAATGGAATATTACCGAGGTCAAGGAACTCAAAGAGTGATTTGTCCACTTGGTTATTAGATCAAGCCATGGATTTCCCTAGACGACCGTTCCTTCTCGTGGTTCTTTCCTGGCATTAGTCTGAGATGCAGGACATTTATAGGTTAGTGCTCCATTCTAACCATCTAATTCTGAACGTTTCTGAAGTACACTGGAATTATGCCTCAAATGCCGGTGAATCACCGTATGATGACGGCTTTGTTGTATCGCACTAGCGGTTGTAATCGCCTAAATTTGTACATGGGAAATGAATGATCTACATGTTCCTCTTGTCAATTGGGTGGCCTGAGGGTGGTCTGAGACCCAACAACGAGCAGGCAAAAAGGGGTTTCATCGTGTCGGGGCAAGACGCCAACCAGCACATCTCACGTCACGTCATGTCCGCAACCGATCGAGGCAAAATGAACCCGCTCGTCATGATTGGCATCGACCGTACGAGCAAGTAGAATCGTTCCATTTGTAGGGGAGTGGGTCTTCTCGATTTCGTTGGAGGACCTTATCTTGATTCAGGAATTGAGGAAGATGCACAAGAAACAACCACCAGATGAACTGAAAGCCATGGCAGAGGCCTTTGATGACCAGAATTGACATCATGTGCTTAATGGGGCTATTCAATTCAATGATCCTGGTGCCCATTTGACAAAAAGTGGCTTCCCCATCTTTCTTCTGCATTGAATTGTCCTGATTCCCTCCTTTTCTCAAGGGATAACGCAATGGGGATCTTGCTTGGTGGCTAAGAAATTGTCAAAAGGGGGATATTTTTTATGCTTTGTACAAAGCTGTCTCTTTTTCCTTAGGATGCATCGCCCTCATCAGCAACCGCCATGGCTGATTAGTTAATAAGTGAAGTTTTAATCTACGCGTCAATTGAGATGGGTAATCCGGAACCCGCGTGTCCAATATGAAACCGACACCTAGCTCGCGTCTTGGAAATGAGCTAATATCGATTCGGCGTTCGAATTGACATTTCTTCGAGCACGCGAAACAGACTCCCCCATGGAAAACGGAGCGAGTCGGACGCTCGGAATCGTTTTGCCACTCCGTTAGTCGATTGATCGTGAAAATCTACGATTTTCGCAAACTAGTAATTAAAATAAAAAAAAATCCGACCCGGAAAGTAAGTTAAAAAAAAGCGGGGCATAAATCTAACAGTCATGAAATTTGACCCGGGAAAGAAGTTCAGGCCCGGTACAGATCTAGGCCTAATTCTAAAAGAAAGCATCAACTTTACTTTTCTAATTCGAATCACAAACTTTCGCTTAAATCTCAAATTTAATTTGATTAATTTAAAAATTTCACGTCACGAAAGTCAAATTTGATATTAAAGCAAAAATTCATGTTTTTATTGAGATAAAGAAAAGCTCGGATCAAAATTATCTTGATCTTTTTTTTTGGGAACTATCCCCGTGGATCTGACCGTCACCAATTGTCTCCTACCCTGAAAGAAAAGGACCCTCGAGATTTGCGTGCACACACTTACAAACGTACACCTCTCCACATGCAAGTCCCACCCCCAAAAAAAAAATAAGAGGAATATCTCAAACCCCTTTCGAGGCCCAAAACGACGCCGCTCCGAAAGCTAAACCAACCACCCTTCCTCTTCGCGCTCCGTCTTCGTCGACCTCGTATATAAGATGCGAACCCCCCGAAGCGCAACCACCATTCTAACTTTCAGGTCAGGAACTCGAGAGGGAAGAAGGAGGAGGAGAAGAAGAAGATCATCTCCTGCATCGATCCCATCGTCGCTTCACGCAGGGAGGATCAGCGACGACCTCACGATCCGCGGCCTTCGGGTGGAAGGAAATATGGAGGGGCTGAAGCTCGTTTCCCTGGTCCTCGCCGCCTTGCTCCTCCTGGTCGCGCCGCCCCCGCCCGCCTCCGCGGCGGACGCGCGCGGCCCCGGCCTCAGCCTCGGCCTCGCGCCGTCGAGCATCCCCTCCGTCCACGCCGAGCAGCTGATCAGGCAGCTCAATCTGTTCCCCAGGGAGGACGTCAACGTCGTCCGCGGCGGCGGCGGTGTCCCCGGGCCGCTCGGCGCGGGGGAGCGCATCGTCGAGAGGCGGTTCAGGTTCCCTGGCTTGGGGCTGGAGTCCGGGGTTCCCGTCGAGGATCTGGGTCACCATGCCGGGTACTATAAGCTCGAGCATTCTCATGACGCGAGGTAATTCTTATTTGAAGGATTCTTTGTTTCCGGTTTGATGGGGGATCAGCGTAGTGTCTTGCTTGACTGTCTTGGATTATAGATTATTTTTTTTCTGATTTTTGGGGTCCATTAAGCTCATGTTATGTCATAATATCAGAAGGCCAAGTCTTGTTGCTTTTCGGTTTTGTAGGTTATGAGTCTGAATTTGGGATTGCTAGTGATGTGATGGGTTATCTATTGCATGTCGTGTTTGAGAAATGTGTAGAGATTTTGTGGATGCGTAGCCGTCTGTGTAGTTGCGACGTGCTGTTCTGTCTGCGCGATATTATTAGGTCATTTTCAGCTTTCTTATTTTGCTGTGATTCAATGCTTGAGGAAATGTCATGGCTTAGAGCCTTGTTGCAAATTGTAACCTGTAACCTCTGAGGGATTTTTTTTATGTTCAATGGAGATAAAATTGTTGCAGCTTCATGGATAGAATATTTTCGGTGCAATGTTACTAGTGGTCCTTGTACTTTTACTTGAAAATCAAAACTTTTGCGGGATTAGAGAAAATTAATATAAATTTAGAATCTATGAGAGTTATGTAGAATTTTTTTACCTTATCATTTTGTCCATTATTTAGTAATGTACCATTTTTATTGGAAACCTTGTATAAAAGTTTGAGAATGAGAGATGTTTTGGATTTTCTTTATAATTTAGAGAGGTGATTGATTGAACTTACCAGATAATGTAAAAAAGATTTAGTAAATAGGTTGTGGCTACACTTAGCCACTCACAGCTTCCAGTTTATTTTTCTTATCCTATGAGTATGTGGAAATTTGCTACCTAGTAGGTTTGTCGACGATTCGCATATTACTTCTCACATCAAACTAACTTGGCTTTGGTGTCTCAAGTCCAGCTGTAAAACTTGTTCTTAATCTCGTTGGTTGTTTTTGGTAGGATGTTCTACTTCTTCTTTGAATCACGAAGCAACAAGGATGATCCTGTTGTTATCTGGCTGACTGGAGGACCGGGTTGCAGTAGTGAATTGGCTATGTTCTATGAAAATGGTCCCTTTGCCATTGCAGACAACATGTCCCTTGTTTGGAATGAATACGGTTGGGACAAGGTATTGAGGAGTATTTACAATTTTCCTTTCATAAACTGTTGCTACTTGGGAAGGATTTTAAATGTGTTGCATTATTATTCTCTTATTCTATTGTATCCTTAGCAATTAATGTGATCTTGACAATGTCTTTTAAGGCTTCAAACCTGCTCTATGTTGATCAACCAGTTGGGACTGGCTTCAGTTATACCTCTGACAAACGTGACATCCGACACAATGAAGATGGTGTCAGTGACGACTTATATGATTTCTTGCAGGTCTGTAAATTCTTTTGACTTCTATTCTGCCGGTGTTGTTGGTATCGTGGACTCGTTAGATGCCAGATTTTTTTGGAAAAGATGTCAATCTTCAAAAGATTTGTAGCATTCGTCTGACTTATACAGTACCAGTTCCCTTTTCTTTGTTTCATTTAACCTAACAAAGGAACAGGGGCTTCAATTGAAACCATATAGACTTCTGCATTCTTTTGACTTGAAGAGATCTTGTTCTAGGCCTTCTTTGCGGAGCATCCTCAGTTTGCAAAGAATGACTTCTATATTACCGGAGAATCATATGCTGGTCACTACATTCCTGCTTTTGCTGCTCGTGTTCATCGAGGAAACAAAGCTAAAGAAGGAATTCATATAAACCTAAAGGTAGGGCTGCCAACTTCAACTTGCACTTCATTGTAGTGGTTGATTAAATTTTTCGTAAAACTAAAACCAAAATGTTAAAACAGGGATTTGCTATTGGCAATGGCCTTACTGATCCTGCAATTCAGTACAAAGCTTACACTGATTATGCATTGGACATGGGGATTATTGAGAAATCTCAGTATAATCGTATCAACAAGATTGTTCCAGTGTGCGAAATGGCTATAAAGCTTTGTGGTAATGATCCTGATCTTGTCAAGAAATTCTCCTTTCCACTATCCATTCTTCTGCTTTCCTAGCTACCATTTTATTGTTTTACACTACTATGATCTGTAATTGCTAAAAGAAAATTGGCTTCACTCTCTCTCTGCTGCAATTACTTTTCTAATGCACATGTTAAATTTTTCTTGTCTGCATATACTACTTTCAGGAACTGATGGCACAGTCTCTTGTATGGCTTCGTATTTTGTTTGCAATGCTATATTCAGCAGCATCATGGCACTGGCTGGTAACGTCAACGTAAGTTTATCACCTTGTGTTTTTTCAGGCATTTTGGTGGTGATTTAGGGTATGCTTTGCTATGCTGTTTCCATTTGTTCTCTCCTGTTGTCTATGATCACGTAGCATGTCAACAGTTAACGGTTGAGAATCCAATCTTGATATATCTAAGAATTGTTCTTTTTTGTTATATTGTCGGCTCATAGTTCTGAATATTTTTCTTGTTCCATTACCTGATAGTGACAATAAATAGCTTTTCCACCTGATATAATCGTTTATTGAAGAATTGTGTTTGCACTTTCCCACTTCTCATCTTCATAAACTGCAGATTATTGAACAAGATTGAAAGCAACTTTATAACTTGTGCAAGCATGCAGGGTAGAGGAAGGTGTCAGAGATAATGTGAAATTTGATTATTATATTTGGTCCATTGCAGTATTATGACGTCAGAAAGAAGTGTGAAGGGAGCCTATGCTATGACTTCTCCAACATGGAAAAGTTCTTGAACCAGAAACCTGTCAGGGATGCACTTGGAGTTGGGGAGATAGATTTTGTGTCATGTAGCCCAACAGTTTATCAGGCCATGCTGGTGGACTGGATGAGGAATCTGGAAGTAGGAATTCCTTCTCTTCTCGAGGATGGAGTTGAATTGCTAGTCTATGCTGGAGAATATGATTTAATCTGCAACTGGCTCGGTGAGTTATCTCTAACTAGTTTCAGTGGTAGGTCAAGCCAAATCATTTTTAACATCTGATGTTCCTTATCGTATTTATATGATCAGGCAATTCGAGATGGGTTCATGCCATGGAATGGTCTGGTCAGAAGAAGTTTGTGGACTCTCCTGATGTTCCCTTCGAAGTTGATGGATCGGAAGCAGGAGTTTTGAAGAGCCATGGCCCTCTGAGTTTCCTCAAGGTCTCTCTCTCTCTCTCTGTTTTAAATGTCGATGGAATAATTTTGGCCATTCTAAGCTGCATGATCTAATTGACACCAGGTGCATGATGCTGGTCACATGGTTCCAATGGACCAGCCCAAGGCGTCACTAGAGATGCTGAGAAGGTGGACTCAAGGCAAACTCTCTAAAACTGGAGCTGACACGGAGAACTTGGTGGCTGAGATGTGATTCGGTCGCCTGCGCATCTCATGGGAATAACTTCTTCAAGAATTTTATTTTCTTGTATAAGTGCTTGTAAATATTTCCTCTACATAAGTTGTGCTCTCAGACTCTTTAGAGGATCTCCGACGAATGATGGTATGGTTCACTGTCGGTTATTGAGATGGTTCTGTTAATGTTAATCTCACAGGGCACTTCGGTATAACTAGAACTGGATCCTTGTCCCATGTTTTTAAGTGAAGGTAAAGGAAGGTGTATGTGCAGCGTTGCGATTTCTTTGATGTTCTCATTTCTTTGGTGAGTCATTTGGTTGTTGTCGGATTGGAATGAATGAATGTTTTTCTTGGACCGTCCTTGGCTAGAGCCGTAGCTTTTTCGGTCTATTACTGTGGTAAACAAACATGCTCCATCCTTACTTGCCCTGGTTGCAGCGCGTATCATCTGCACGGGGGCATCAGGGAGCGCCCCCCCACCCTCGGTTGTTGATTAATTGCAACTTTTGCTTTTTGATAATTTGATGTAACCAGTGGCTTGGAGATTCCTTTTACGTGCCCTAGTAGCAGTGCTCTCAGCCTCTCTTGCCCGACGGGTGCATAAGATTATCACGCATTGGTTATCTTGCTCTCTGGACTCTATGGTTCTAATGAATTGGGATTTAAGAGCAATGTCGTTCGGGGCTTGTAATGATCATTTGAGTCTTGGAACGTACTGGTTACCAGGACCAAATAGAAGGGCCCTTTTGCTCAGAATAGATTTCGCTGGGAGTGAGAGGGTGGATCTAACGAGGCTCGTTCAAGCAGTGCACTCAACAGGGTGAAACTATTGCGTGCAATCCAATCAAATCAAATGTGCCGGCAGGAAGAACCGACTTCTTATGCTCGGAAGGAAAGCTAGTCACCTGAGAGCAGTAGAAAAAAATAGAATAGAGTGCGACAGAACCGGGTGACTTTGAACGTGCACGTCTTTCAACTCTTGTCCACGATCCAGCTTCTATTGAATCAGCGTAACGAGGTGTCGATGAGGGTACGATATAGAACAAACTGGCTTTGGTTCGGAGCTAAAGGAGTTTGGTTAAGCTGGAAAGATCGAATTTAACCTCTCGATTAACTTGAAGGCCGGTGGCAAAGGAAGTAGCAGCAATTGCTTTACATAACTGCTTTTAGATAGAGAGACATTCATCCCCTGGTCTGTGAGGAAAAGGAGCTCTTAAAAGAAAAAGAAGCAGGGGGAGTAGACCCGACAGCAAAGTCCCAGGTGAAAGCAGAATTGAAAGTACTATGGTTGATCACCATAGGCATTGTCCCACAGTGATTAAGTTGTTGGGCTTGGAAACTATTACCCAATAATCAAAGGTTTCACTATAAAATTACTTTATATTATCTTCTAAAAATGGAGAATTGGGGGTGTAATAATTATTATCTACCATATAAATTTTAGGAAAAATAACACAAATCATCCATGAAGTTAGGCTCAATATAAAATGTGGTCTCTGAACTTTTAATTTATACAATATGATCCCTGAATTATAGTTCAATGTGATCCCAGGACTAAGTTAAACATGCACCTAAAGTCCTAGAATCAAATTGGGCAAATTAAAAGTTTAGGAATCATATCGCATATTAAGTTAAAGTTCAGAGAGAATATTTAACAAATTAAAAGCTCAAGGATTATATCGAACGTTAAGCTAAAGTTCAAAGATTATTTATATAGTTTTTCCTAAATTTCACTATCGTGCTGTGCTGCCGTGTTGCCTAATTTCAATATATCTTAGAAAGAGTTAAATTTAACATTCCGCTGACTGAGCGTGAATACTAACAAAGTCGGTAGCTCCCCGGCGCTCGTCGCCGGCCGCGTTCCTCGTTTAACCAAATCGGAAGAAGATAAAACAAGAGGGAGACGGCCAAGAAAAAGGAAGTGAGTGGCCATGGCGTCTGCTCTCGCTCTCTCTCTAAAGCCTCCCTTCCTCTCCGGCAACTCGCCTCCTTCGCTTTCTTCGCTTCCGCCGCCTCCATCTTCTTCGCTCCATCCCCAGCTCCCCGCCACGCTTGCTTCTTCGAGGAAGCGTCATGTTGTGAAGCTCCGGAATGGTGTCCCGAGAGCGTCTGCTGAAGGTTCGTTTCTTTATCCAGAATGGTCTCTTGCCGCGCGAGGTGGAAGTTGGTCGGCGTTCGAAGTGTGGAATCTCTAAACCTCTTTTGCTTATCTGTTCGTTTTCTTCCTCGGTAATTGTTGTGTGTGTCGCTGTGGTCTCTTGAATTTTATCCTGATCAGGGTAGAACTCGATTCTTTTGTTTCTCTTAGAGCGATTTGCCGTGGTGGGTCATTTTCCTTTCTATGTTTTGCTGTGCTCTTACAATGTTCGTGCTGTGATTTGCTAGAAAAACCCGAGGCGTGTTGTCGCCGCCGCCATTCGTAGCCGCGGTGTTTGATTGCTCTGTTTGTAATCATTGGTCGAAATGGATTGCCTTTGTATATACACACGCGCATGAATTTGTTGTGCGTGTTTCGAGCGTTAGATGGGGCACTCGTTTTCAGCTGGTTCTCAGTTTGAACCAAACGGCGCTCCAATCAAGTGCTCGGTGAAAAGTGAAAACACCAGTCAGGCGTATGGTGCAATCGGTTTTTGGTCTCTTGAATCACAGCATTGTGCCAATTTTTATGTTGAGGAGAGAGTGGCTAAGCTTAAGGATTGAATCTTTGATGACATGGAATGCATGATCGTGGTCCTTGCATAACCATTATAACCAGCCATTGTCTCACCTATACAAGGGAACAGAACGCACGACAAGACTCAAACCTCCGATCTCTTACTTAAAGACAAGCTGTGATCAGCCATTGTGCCACCTATACTGAGTGAGCAAAAGATGATGGTTTAGTCAATGGATTTTTTTTCGATAAACTGTTCTTGGTCATCGAAGAAATACGTGAAAAAGAAGGGTTACTAGCTCTTCATAAAATGAAACAGAAAGAGTGTCAATCCTAGTTCTTCTGTGCCTTATAAACTTGGGTTGGGATTTTTGGAAAAAGAATAATAATTAAAGCTCGGGCCAGAGAACACATGGGGACTCTACGACGGTATATGAGTAGAGAGAGAAGTTGGGCCCATTGTTTGAAATCGAGGCAGAAGCAGTGGATTTCGAATATTTCAATCTACTTGCTCTTTACTAGTATGTTGCGTTGTACGGCATCACCTGCTACTGCTGGGATAAGATCCATGAAAAAACCATTCCTGATGACAAATTCTGTGCTTTCTCAGTCTCTAATAAAAGCATTTCCTATTCACATTGATTTGCTTTGTTTTACAGGAGTTCCAAGTGAGTTGGTCGAAGATTCAAAATTTGTTCCATTGAATGCTGAAGATCCTAGATATGGCCCCCCTGTAAGTTCTGGTTAGTTTTCTGCACCACAGCGAGTTTTTTTTCACCACACATTCTTACGCAGCATTCCTGATTTATAGGTAGCATTACACGAGCCACCATGAATTAGCTGTGCATAATTCCTTAGCACCTAACTATCTTAGCAGCAATTCATACAGCAAAACTGTAAATTCTACGATTGAATGCACGGAATTACTGAATAATGCTGAGTTCTTACTTTGCAACTTGATGAAGTTGTCTACTTTTTGTTTTATGTTCATCTCCAGCAATGAGACTACCTTGATGTTTCAAGAAGTTTGAATTTTGCAGGCTTTGTTGCTAGTTGGCTTTGATGCGGAGGAGACGGGAAAGGTATGGATTGTTTTAATGACTCTCTTTGTCGAGTTGGCCCCTATTCTTAAGTAGAGGAGGTTGTAACTCTTTTTTTGAAGTCCTTCGGTTTTAATATACATCTCCTATGGTTAGTCCGTGTTCTGTGCGTGCGAATTCCTTCAGAAGGTATGAGGGAATTTGCCTATTATTAAAGAAACTTTTCTTTTGGTGTTCTGCAAATTACAGATCCAACAACTTCTGAAAGAGATGGATGGCGAATTTCTACAGGTATTGTGATCCACTGTTCTTTATCAAGTATGGTTTCAGGATAGCTCCAGGGTGGCAATTTCTTTGCTTGTGGTGCCCTGAATAATTGAAAAATAACCATCTTAGTTCAGTGTGCTAATTTAACCATTCTTCTTCTTTTCCGAAATTCATAGTAATTGAAATGGTGAGTAGTGACAGTTTGCGACTTTTCAGAGTAGACATTTATTCCCTACCTTTTGTTCATGTATATTTGCCATGTAAAATTAAGGTACATTGTTTGCGACACTACTGTAAAAATGCGTAGACAGAAGGTGTGTTGTGAGTGTAGGCTTGGAATTTCACCTATGCTGGGACAATGTTTTCACAAATATTTGCTAATGTTGGATGATTTCATACTTTAAGCGTCTATTTTCTTTGCTTTTAACCAAAATTTCACCAAAAGCAATCTGTTTTATCTATGATCTTTTCCTTATTTGGAGAGAGAGCTTGTTGAAAGAACATAATTTGACATCTGCCAGCAAAGTACGATCATGCCAACAGGTTTTATATGCCTTAACTGATCGATCCCTGCCCTTGGTCTTGCAGATTGTGTACTGCACTGAGAGTATGGTTAATCGTTCACTGTGGGAAGCGGTGCATACAAGACAGCCTGATGTGAAGGCAATCAAGGTTAATATAAAGAGTTCCGTCCATATTACGGGTTCTTTTGATTAGTTTCATGACATTCTATATGGGTCGAACCATTTTCCTTCATTGCCACCTTTCTCTTTCTTCATTAAAATTAATGCATCAAATTCCACGTCTGGTGCCTTTGAAGAAAGAAATACTTGCTAAGAAAATATCCACTATTTTGTTTGATGATCTGGTGATGAATATTGGAGTTTCCTCGTACTGTCATTTGACAGCTTCTCAGAACAGCGCCAAACTACTGTCATTCCTTGCAAAAGGTTCTAAAAGAATTGAACTGTGTAGTCCTCTTGTATTGCTCAATGAGTCCAAAGGTTTCGAATTACCAACTTCTATCAGCAACCCTCAGTAGGCTTGGCTGTAGAATCACAAGCAAGTAGTAACTTACTGTTCCACCTTCTGTTATTTACACCGATGCATCATCACAATTTTTCAGATCGCAAAGAATGTGCCACGTATCTGCTTCTTGTCGGGTCTCAGCGGAGAGGAGATGATGATGTTCATCGATGCCTTTCCTGAAACGGGTATAGCTTCATTCTTCTTCGTCTGGAGGCTATTTATCCATTTAGTTAAAAAACCGTTTGCGTTAGAAATACTCGTACTTTTTGTCTGAGACTCTCCGCTCATCCTAGATCAGCTAGGAAACTGTCTTTTAGAGACTGAGCAAGTTAACTTAAATTTGGTCACGCGAGTATAGGAATCTACACATTTTGTTTATCCTCATTCATGATATTTTATATTACCATATGCTGCACTGTGCTTTGGTCCTCGCAGGATTGGAACCAGCTGTATTTGCGGCTCTCGTTCCCAACAGCGCCGATAAACCAGTACAGGAGTTGATAGAAGAAATAATGGGAGATCATGAAATGCTTGTAAGTTGATGTATCATTCCATTGTCTTACGGCAATCTTTGATTTTGAGTTTGTCCCTCAATTTAACGGAGGTACATTTGATTCCTTTGCAGACTGGAAAGCCGTAACACACGCCCTAAGCATGTGAGAATCACTTTGAAGGATAGTGACCGTCGTTAGCGCATAGACGGATACCCTTTTTATTTGGCTCTGGCAAAGATATTATCACAATAACAGATTACTATTTCATTCCTATTCAAATTCCTTGACATAAAGTACTGTTACCTGCTTTCCTGCATCCACTCCATGGTTCAAAACTGACCCCACCAAGCTGTGATATCAATACATAATCACTCAGCCTAAATGATAACATGGTTCTTTGTTTGAAGAATACCAGCCTTCGGCATCAAGAAAGCCCTTTATCGCGACCAACGAGCTTTCTTTTAGAAGATAGGGTTTCAAGAGGATGGACAGCAGGAATTGCTTTTCTCACAAGTCATAAGAAGTCTAAAGCCAACATGTAGTCTGTCTCAAGTGCTTTTGACTTTGAAGATTTCAACACTTTTCTTGCCTCACATTATCTGGCAGATTGCTCTGTAATCACAATGTGTCTGAATTCAGATGGTTGACAACAACTCAACAAAAAATTTCTTCTAATTCTATATAATAATCTGCGCACTAAAGTTAACGATGAAAAACCACAAACAATAGCATACAAATGAAAAGGAACTGGGCTTTCCCCTTTTTCCACTTAAAAAGAACACAACTAATTTCATCTCCCAAATGTCCTGCACAAGCATCCATTCTCTAGCAAATCTCCCTTTTTCCATCTGGCCGCATCATCCAAAATCCAAGAATGTTTTACCAGACTATTTTCAGGCAAGACCCCTGAAAATAAAAGGAAGCAAGATTTAAGAAGAAGCCTAACCATGCATAACCGTAAGTCTGTGTGCAAGAATGCATGGAGGAGAAGATGGTTACTGTGATGATGAATATGGGCTGTTAGCAATGGACTCGGACCATACTACATATGAGCTTATCTTATTATACAACTCGGAAAGAATCACAAACAACAAGATGGATCCTTGCAGTGCTGTATGTATGCTTGTGAGACAGAATTAGAGATAATAATCCAGGAAAGCCACACAAAGGAGTTGAGAGAGAAAGCCAGGTGAACGAGAACTTGCACAGCTCCTCTACAAGCTGCTGCAATTTTCACACTATCATATAGTACTTCCTTCTCCAGGCCGAACTCTCATAACTACATTTCTTTTTGGCCAAAACCTACCATACCAACATTGGCAGCCGAAGAAATGCTTTGGGATTGCTGGATATTCATCCATTGTCTTGAATAACTAAAGCCTTCACGATATCCTCTGACTTGAATGTTAAAAAGGAAGGTTCTCATCTTCAATAGTGACTTGTCAAATGCCAAAGACTACAGCCCCGTCGCCTTTAGATCACACTCCCACCATAAGAGCAAGATTAGAGAAAACCTAACACGAGCTTTGACTACAGTATGCATGGGGCAGAGCACCAAGTAGCTCGGTTTTACTATGGACTATGTTACCTTTCTCGAATTTGAAATGCAACCATCCGCAGTACATGCGGCATGGGAATCACCTAGTCATTAGCGAACATAACCGCAATTTCAATCCGCAAGGCGTAAGCTACCTCACACCGCTTTATCAACAGTAATTCCTTCATCTCAATGCACCAAGCATATACTATCTCTAGCTCCAACATCCTTCTACCAAATACCCAAGACGTTGTCCTGAGCCCGACTGACTATACCAAGAAAACCACGGAAACAGAGGACTTCAACCCCATAGTTCAATTCAAAAAACCAGATGCTTCTACTACTTAGCATATTAGAAAAAAGCACAAAGACATACCTTCAAGATAGAAGGATTAAGGAAGCACCTCCAAGAACAAGGTCTTACTTCTCTGCAAAATCCAAGCAAAAGCCAAGGCCTCACTCTCTTCAAATTCAATCATCCTCCTCATCACTCTCGTCACTGAAATAGCTCACCTTTTTCTCCCTCCTCTCCTTCACTCTTTCTCTCTCCTCTCTCTCTCTCGTCAGCAATCTCTCGTCCGCGCCGTCGTCCACCACCGAGGCCCAATTCTCCTCCTCGAATGCCTCCCCCTCATCATCTTCACCGCCGCCGCCGCCGCCGCCGCCGCCGGTCCACTCCTCCCTCCCCCCGCCGCCTCTCCTCCCCTTCTTCGGGGCGGGCCTCTCTCTCGGCCCCAGGACATTCTTCGGGCACTCGTACGACAGGTGCCCGTCCCCTCCGCACTCGTAGCACCTGCTCTTGTCCTTGTAAACCCTCTTCCTGATGAACTCCGTCGCCCGGCCGTTGTCGACCGCGATCGACGCGGCGACCTTGCGGCCGTTGAGGATCTTGCCATGCATCTCGGCGGCGGCCCGCTGGGCGTCGGGCTGCGCGATGAACTGGACGAAGGCGACGCCGCGGCTGCGGCGGGTGGCGCGGTCCTTGAGCACGGTAACGCGTGCGATCTTGCCGAAGGTGGAGAAGAGGGTGTGGAGGTCGGAGTTGGTGAGGGAGAAGTCGAGGTTGGAGACGTAGAGGGTCGACTTGGAGGGGACGAGGCCGCCGGAGCCGCCGCCGCCACCGGAATTTGTGGAATTTGGGTTCCCTCGGCCGTGAGCGGCGGTGAGGTTGGAGGTTGACGGCTGAGGAGGCGGAGGAGGAGCTGAGGCGTACCGGTAGTAGAAGGTTTCGTCTTCGTCGGAGTCGGACTCGTTCCGCCTGCGCTTGCTCTTGGGCTTCCCCATCGTCGCTCCCGCTTCGCACTCCCCACGCTTTCTTCTCCATCGCGTTCGCCGCCGGCCTGATATATATATATATATATCGGCGGCGACGCGCGGGCTGGGCTCTAGCTTCCGTGGGCCGAGCCCAATTTTTATGGGCCTCGCTCGATGGGCTTCCGGCACAGGCCCATATAGTCGATCCGCTTTAGGCAAGTCCTCGTGGCTCCTCGGCGGTCCTCGTCACACTGTGTTTGTATTTTGTTAGCTTCTCGGAGGTACCTGTCGTCGGTTGAGGAAAAGGGTGAAACGTAAGGAAAGACGCAGCATTGCCGAGCGAGCGACGGTCCTTGTTCTTGGATGTTATGTTCGTCGTCGTCGGCGCGAGTGTTCGTTCTGATTTCTTGCGAGGCGCCGGAGATCTTGAAAGGGCCCGTTCTTGCTACCGTTCTCTCGATCGGCGGCCCGGCGGCGAATCGATCGGGAGTGCTCGAAAGGCCGCTTCTTTGAGGTAAGGACGGAGATCCCAAAATCTTTCTTGTTTCATCTCGGGAAATTGTTCCTCGCTCGGCGTGTCCTGTTTTCTCCGATTGACTGTGCTTTCGAGTTTGGAGCTTGTGGGCTTCTCAGAAAAACGAAGTTAGAGTATAGTACTGTGCTGCGTGATGTGTCTTCTGGGTTTGAAGGAGTTCTTTAGGAGCTCAATCTTTCGAGATTTGTGATTGATGGGGTTGTTGATTCGATTCTCTGATCGTTTGGTGATTATTCGTGTCGTGTGTAAATGCTGTTAGACCGTTTAGAGTTTAGATGGTTAAACATAATCATCTATTATTTGAATGGGCACCCCTGGGATTGTGAAGGTCTAATGTGTGCGGGCACGATGGTGAATGGTTACTGGGGTTGCGAGAATAAGTTGCGAATGGCCACAAAACAGTCACTGTCGCTTGTCATTTAATAGAACAGCACAGGCATATGCATCCCACCTGTGTAAGGTTCTGCTTGACAGCCGGATAGAGGAAGAGGGAGGTGCGTAGAGTAGTCCACAGCGGACATTTATATTATCGAATTTTGATGGCTTCAATCCTGGACTTCATTTAGAGCAGCATATTTAGTTATGGTGTTGGAGACATATGTGGAAGGTGGAGGAATTGAATAGAATCTTGAGTGGTGTTGCCGTCGTCACTCTCATTCCTGCCCTGTGGGTTGTTTCTGTTTACTAGATCCCAGGAGCTGGACTCTGCCCAATGTTTGTGAGGTCTGCTTTGAGATAGGAACTGTCCATTTGGCTGTTCATAGTGCACATTTGAAGTAGTTCCAGTTGATGCAGAAAAGGGTGGGTTTTAGCAGTTGAATCTCTGCCACGTCCTCGTTAATGTCCCTCCTTACCTCATACGGCATTCTGCCCCTGTTGTGGCTTCTGCTTTTTGCCTATGCCAGTTTCATCTTTTGTTCCTAAAAGCAACGAGTGCACCTGCATGTTTCAGTGGAACGTAGAGAAAGCCTGGTTCAGCTCCACATAAGATAGGGGCAGGTCATTCCCCTGTTGTAGATTAAGGGGCTGGGACTCTATACGGTGTCCGCTTAGATACATCCTTTTTTCTGCTTGGAGGGCAACGGTATATATTGTTAAAAAAGTTGCAAGCAGAATATCGTTCTTGGTGCTAGATGTACTTATGGCTTTTACGAACTGTAAAAAGAAGTCATTCAGCTACTATTAGAAATTTCACAAGGCTGACTGGAAGGTCATGATCTTGCTAGCTGCTATGACGAACTTAACGCACTATCTTTGTGCGATTGTCACAATAATCTCGAAGGAAAAAATAATGAAATTTGCTAAGTAGAGAATCACTTCCATGTATTTACTCAACATATATCCAACCAGAACGTCTTGCCATCTCATAACCATTCTAGGTTTTCCTCCACAGCTAGGCCCTCTAGTCATTATTTTGGTTCTCAAGTGTACATATGTTGCTGGACCATGTTCCTAGTTGGTGACACTGATGTTACTTGTTAGTTGTGGCCTTTGACCAATTGGCGGATGAAACTGGAGGACATACATTTTCTTAGGTCCTGAATTACATCTTTTCTTCTTTTCTTTTTTGGCTGAACCTGAACTGTAGATGCTGGGGATTAGGCACTATATCCTCAGAAGACATCCTTCTCTATACGTTGTTGATCCATTAGTTCTAAATGTATGGCCTTTGAAATTTTGGCTGGCAATATCCTGTTACAGTAACAATTTCATTGCAATCGGGTTCCAGGTTTTCCAAGTGCAAATGGTGAATCGACATGGATTTTAAAGTTGCAATCCAAATGGCAAATAGGATCTGAAGGACCCTGAACAACTTAAATCTGAAAAAAGCACTGACTTATCAATTTGGGGTTGGGATTCAGGTCTAACACGGGTCCCAGTTTGCCTTAAAATGAAGATTAGGTCTAATTCCCCGAAGAACTGATGTTCATTTTTTTGGTTGTAAAAGTTCATGATATTTATTCTATGAGAGTAAATGCTTGCTCGTCTGCAACTGGCAGTTTTGCCATTTCTCGAGTCGTTTCTTTACTTTTTCTTGAAAGATTTTCCCTGTGTAAGTCATTGACCAGACTAGTGATGATTTGTCATTCACCTTCAACAAGATGCATGGATTCTCCACTGTTGATGGCTTTGTGGAGATAACTGAAAGCTTGGCAGAGATGATCAAGTATGTGGCGAATGAACCTTCAGTGGGGCTATTTTACATTCTGCAGCACACTCAAAATTCAGTGCCCAACGTTATTAGTCTCAAGAATAATGTTGCAGGGAAATCACAAGCAACGAATCTGCATACTGAGGACTTAGAAGATTCTATTACAATGATGAGGTCAATGAAGGATTGTGGGTTCCCCATTGTTGATGACATGATTGGTGATATCAACAAATCTCTAGCAATTATGTCAGCAAAACAGCCTAAAAGAGGATTGATACACAACCAATCCTCAGGTTTTGAAATGCGAAGAATTGGCTCGTCAGGGCCAACCACTTGGGGACGATCTACCTTTTTTGACCATCAAGATGGTGAAAGGAGTGGAAATTACTTTTCCAATGTTCTAAAGTCAGCGAAACAAAGGGCGAGCAATTTTAAGTGGTCTAACCTTGATTCCCAAGAACCTATGCAGATGCAGGGTGAGAAACATTTGATTTATACTGATGAACCATCATCAGTTGCGGAAACTAGCTCAAGCTCAACTCTGCCGGTGGTTGAGTCTGATGAACTGCCATTATCAAGTGAGGTTTCTGAAGAACTGCAAGAAGAGAAAGGAGGAGAAAGCCACACTACTCTCCCCTTGCCAAGCGATCATTTGTTGCCAGTGTCAGAAGACTTTGAGAGTTTTAAAGCTAATAGAGAAGCAAAATTGGAGGAGTGGCTGGGAGAGACTGGTCACCGTAATAATTGCAATGGAGCGACTAATGTGGAAACAGCTTAGCTTGATCCGCCGCTGTTTAAAATAACCACCCTTGTACCTTTTATCAATTGGGATGTAAATATCTGTCCAGATGATGATCGCTATTGACTGATTGCTTACTACGAAAAAAAATTCATCACTGTGGTCTTTTCAGAGAGAGCGCAGCTAAAGTTACAGATGACTCAAGGCTCTCCTACGGAGAGGAAGATTGCTTTCGGAAGGCAGCTTCAGAGAAATGCAGAAAGTACTTGCGTCAGCCTAGCAACTTATCAGCAGTGACAGTCGTGCATGTATTCTGCATATGTTCTAGTTTCTTGGGTCCTAACATTACGTCTTATCGATTCCTAGATGTGGAACTGCATCAGGAGTCTCCCAAAACTGAGCTTTTTCTTTTATCTTCTTGTGAAGTAGTTGTATATTGCTGGCTTGCTTATAACAGTTTCTCCTTTGTGAGAAACTTTTTTAATGAGTGAGGTGATGTATCTGTAGCTTGTTGTGGAATAAATGTCCGTGTACTTATGCCGGTTTTATTCAATAGGAGTTATGAGGTGAATCTTTGAGACAAATAGTTGAAAATTTTCCAATGACGCAGTAAAAAATCGGTGTTGAGAGGGAGACCTCCTCATGCTGGGAGATTAACATAAAATTCAAGATGAAACCGTGGCAGGCAAAAAAATGCCGTTAAAGTGCAACAAAATACAAACTTGGTGCTGCAACTCCGCAATGATGCCTATAACAGGCCTTTTCTTGAACCTTTCTTCGTTTGTGGCAGAAATAGGCTATAAGAATACTTCAGTACTAGTCTTTGGTGTCTATGCAGACTGACAAAATCACACACCAACTGCGTGGCTTTTTTTGGCTTACATCGGCGGGATCTGTCACAACATTTTCCTCTCTCTAGATCTTTAAGATGATCTGTATTCTGAGGGTTAAGCATATCTTGAAAAGTGAAAAATCGTATGTGCAAAGTGCGACCGAAAGAAAACCTTGCACCTCCGGGACCCAATTAAACCGGCCAGGTTTGCCTTCTAATTTTCATTTTGACTCCAGGAAATTGTTCTGCCTCGCCCTCCAGCTTCATCTGACTGAGGGATGGAAAGTTACCGGCGCTTGCTGTCTCCTCGAGTCGGTTACAGGGGGCCTCCTTTCACCTGTCTATTTGTGTAGATTCTGCCTCATGTACAAGCAGCACTTTCCGACCAAAAAAAAAAAAAGTACAAGAGCAAAGCACACGCGACCCCCCAGAAAAGGTACAACTCAGCACCTAATAAAACCCAAGAACATTTCCCTTTGGTTTAACTTGGAATCACATTTCAAAGTCAACAGAAGGTCTCACGCAGAATTCCACAAAAAAAACCCATGCGAATTCCATAACAATTTCCAAACTGGCATCTGCCTAGATTGAAATAAGTACCTGATGTATTTACATTTGTATCTGGAATTTCACAAGAGAAAAGGGAGTCTCCTTTCTGTTACACCTAGAGGAATCTTTGAACCTCGGTTGTATAGCTGAATTTCACCAATAAACACTTTGGAAGCATCAAAAGTTCTTTGACCACATGCCTTAAACTGTTTTCCAAAAAATAGCATGATTGTGACAGTCTCACCAAAAAAAAAAAAAATCTAAGTCCTGCTTCCTTGAGGTAGTAAAGGGTAATCTCATTCTATCGCATGATTGGCAGCAGTCAGTACGATCAGCAGCAAAAAGAGATGCCACATTTGAATATTGCCAGTACGACAACGAAATACAGGCCTTCATGAAGACAGTTTCTTAGCATGGAGGTGGAGGGGAGGAAACTGGTTCACCAGCTCTTGCTTCAGAATGAGTTTCTTAACACTTTTTCATCTGCTAGTTCACAAAGCCTAGCCACAATCCATTTGGAGCTTTCATTAGCCATGTAAATGTTGGTGATCCATGATGATTAATCGACGATAACCAACATTACACAGCTCAGGGACACCAGCATTACAAGCAAGGCCATATAGATGCAAAGCACAACCTGCAGAGATATTTTGAGGAAATGAGGATCCAATCTTGCAATAAGAAAGAAGGCAAGACAAATAGGCTAGTCAGAATCTGTCAAATTATCCAGCCACAAACTTTTCCCCACAGAGAGTCAACATTTGAATTTGTGAAGAACAAAATTAGTATTTAAATGAACCTGACTACACTGAAAATGCTAAATTTATTAATACTAAAACTAGTTGATCCTACTGAGTAGAACCAAATGAAATCCCGACACTGTACAAAGGCATTTGCCATCTAGGTTTTCTCTATGTTTTCCATATAAATTCCAGACAGGCCCATTAACTTGACGATGTATCCACATTTGCAGAGTGGCTAAGACATTGTCTAGGTGCTTTCTCCTTTTGGCACTCAGTTCCTTATATGTCTTAAATGAAAAGACCGACAATATGCAGGCAATGAAATAAACTGTCGAGAGGCTGGTTCCTAAAACAACCAACATAATCGATTTTTGACTATATTGGCGTAAGCACAGTCGAAGGTCGAGTGGAAGATCATGCAGAAGAACAGCTACTAAGTTCAAGACCAAATCAAGGAGGCCATAAGATGGAATAAAAATTCACCAAATTTATCTGTTCTCAATATACAAAGATGTAAATACCTGCCCAAAACATCACAAACTAACTGGTCATCGATGTATGTTATCTTCTTGACAGGAAGCTGCAGGTTAGCCCTTATGCAGGGGAAGATCATAGTCTGAACTGCAATTCAAAGTAAGTCAGTTTCTTTTGCATTTCCTTTCACAGAAAGGGAGAAGAGAGGTAAGGGCTCCACTATATTTGATTTGTGTCTCGAGAATTTACACTATTCGAATGGTTCAGTAGACGCAATTATCTTTAAATACTTTCTGACTAAACGGTGCCTTCGACCTCTTGACAGGAAAAAAATGTGGTAGAGAAGAAGAAAGATAGCAGTTTAACAAAGAAAAGCCAAGCTAAGCCAGGATTTCAAGTTCAGTTCTAAGCCAACAATCAATGACTGTCACTCAGAAGCCGACTAATTCTCGGTAAGTTGCAATATTCATATTACATCATGCAGGCAAGGAAGAGCCACCCACTCAAATTTACACAAAGGACCCATTTGGTTCGGCATTTTGGACCGTGTGCTAATGCTCGATTAAGAGCATGAGTAACTATTGCAAAAACAGCAATTAAAATAGTGTGACCGAGGATAACTAAGCAAATAAGAAACTCCACCAGATTGCCCAGAAAGTGGAGAAAGAAAAATCCTAGATAGAAATCGCATTTAATTATGACTAATAAAGGAGAGTCTCCATAAATCCGACAATTCACTCCATAAACTCTGTTCATCAGCTATTTTACTAGAAAAAACTTATCATTAAAATAACAATATTTATGAAAGAGCCCACACAGCAATGGGACTTTCCAGGGAAAGTAAATCAGACTTTTAATTCCTGAAGCATTCGGATTGTTAAATAATGAAATCTGGACCAACATCGAATGGCCATAAGTGAAAATTGTTAGTGACTATCATTACCAAAATGAATAATGAAAGCGAAGTTCCAAAACCATCTAAATGTGAACATATAAATGTACGATCTCACCATTCACCTGTCTGCGAGGTGTACACTTTCTTCTAACCGCTTCGTTATGTCATCATGAACTTGCCCTACAAAGGAAAAAGAATGATATTCTTCAGATATTCAGTTACAATAATATGAAATATTTACAAGTATGCTATATACAATGAATCTTCGGCTACAATGAAACAACCCTCTTGTATTCATTGTTTTCAAACCCATAATGAACCAGTCAATTCAACCTGTCGAACCATGAACCGATCCAAAGTCATATCCCACTACACCATTGACCGTGTATGGGCGGAAGCGTTTTGAAATAGTATTGACCCGGTTTAACTGGTCAAACTGAGGCAATTAGATTTTTTCCAGAGTTGTCAAGCCAATAAAATATTTATTGCTCCCAGGCAGAAGCCTGCAATTACTAATATGAAAGTATATGTCTAGGCGTTATTTGCAACAAAAAGGGTTTTGACGGGTGCTAGGCACTCCTTTCATTAGCAAGACAAGCGTTGCAATCGCTAAAACATTAATGATATTTTACCAAAACTTGAACCACCATTCAACCAGCTTAGCTGCTAGCCCGTCTCTGGGCCAAAAAAAGAGCTGCTGATCGCGAGACATTAATTTTTAAAACAGTGACTACTTGGTTGTATCAGTCACACATCCATTCCCACTAAAAGAGAAAAAAAAGAAATAATAAAGAGAAGGGAGCTAGTGCAACAAAACGACAAATCCCAACATCTATAGTATGTAGAATGATAATTGACTCCTAGAGCATTAACTAAGCCTACGAATCTATAACATGTAGTTGCTCAAAGAAATTTATCTATAACACGTAATAATAATTTCATTCCTACTTTTAAGTACTGGTGCCACGGAAAGATATGCTATTATGCAATATGAGTGATACACGAGCAATGAAATCTCTCTTTTCCTATCTCTAATTCAATGAGACGAAACAAAATATCTTATTTTCTGTTAATTAATTATTGGAGTAAGTCTTGAACAAGCCCCCCGAGTCCCGGCTATAAGTTACTATTTCCTTTTCTAACCGATTCTTGAAATGCCATATATATGCCTTCTTGACAATAATTGTTCCTCAATCTATAACCAAAATATGTTACACCAAGACAAACTATACAGCTAAAATCCTTTAATCTAATCATCCCACAAGACCATGAGCCAACTGGTAATGAATATTGACTAGGTAGAAGAGGCCCGCAATTCTGACAAAAAAGCTACAAAGAGCAATCGGCAAAATTGTGGAGTGAGAGATGACATCCAATTCTATGCGCTGTTTCCTAGATTTATCATAAAAAGACTAATTTACCCTTGAAACTTCCATAAAGGAAAGTCGAGAGTTATTAGAGTAATTAAATATTAAACCACGCCTTCATCTAACAGTTTAAGCTTTTAGAACAGTTGGCAGTGATCCCACCAAAATCTCACATGGTATCAAAGTTGTTGTCCTGAGTTCAAATCTATCCAGGCCCCATTTCCCTCCCAATTATATATGTCCACTATTAGTACTAGGCAAAAGACCAGACTAAGCGTGAGGGGGAGTGCTAGAGTAATTAATTATTAAACCACGCCTTCATCTAATAGCTTAAGCTTTTAGAACAGTTAGCAGTGGTCTCACCAAAATCTCACAAGAGTCACATTCTAGCTGGGGACTTGAACACAACTCAACCTTCATTCTTGATTCACGTTGTCTTTCATTCCTTTATCGTCTTATGTCAACTCAAATGTGTTCATTCCAATGATTTTGTTGTAACTTAGTATTAGAGTACTTGGCAATGTATTTTTTTTACTCAATTAGTTCACTATACTTTTAGTTTTCTTAATTCCACTAGTTCAATAATTTGATCTTTTCCTTTTTTAGTTCTGTATCGCTTTTTTGAATGTCTTAGCAAGATTGCCCTTCATCAACATCGTGACTTTTCTCTACTAGGAACGAAATCACACGACGCATATTATAGATACAACTCTTGGCCAAATGAATCATGTTGCTTTGCCGATAAAAATGACTATAAGAGACACTTCCCCTTATTCGACCTCACAAAGATAAGCAAAATGCATCAGGCAAGTTCGCTTTTAGGTTCTCGACAGAAATGGGATATTGTTCTTCTAGGTACGACCAAAACATTAGGTCGATGAGGGTTTAAGATAGACGAAAACCCTACTCCCTTGTTTGGTTACCAAGAGAAAAACCATTGGAACGGGATTAAGGACTTTATTATCACTCCCCTGACATTTAGTGACAGAAAATGAAGAGGAAAGAAGATAATACCTGAATGAAACTTATCCCTTTATCATGACGTCTAGGTGGTGGGATTATGAGAGGAATTACCAAGTGGAATTGATAAATACTAGAAAGGAAAATGACATTTCTCCGTAATGGGTGCACAGTCATTATCTAACCTCAACTCTCTCTCTCTCTCTCTCTCTCTCTCTCTCTCTCTCTCTCTCTCTCTCTCTCTCTCTCTCTCTCTCTCTCTCTGTCTCTCTCTCTCTCTCAAGTGCGCACACACGATTCCATATTGCCAATTCCAATCTCATAGCATTCTGTTTATCCCATTCCCACCAACCAAAGAGGAATGGAATGGAGAAATCGTCAATGTATAACAACCAAAGTAAAGACATATATCCTTTCAATCTCAGCATTTCATGAAAACAAAGGTTGGTGAATCGACAAGCTGATACAGAAATAGACAAGTGCTAATAAACTTCATGTATAGTGCACCCATCAATTCGGTAAATAGCTGAAATCAGGAACTGAAAACAGAAGAGTACTAAACAATTCTTGTTGCATACATATGCAAGAAGTTTAACCCACTCATTTTCTGAGGTAGGAATGAGGTTTAGTCAAATGGTGAATATGCCGAATGAAATAATTGACAAGTATGTTAAATGGACAAATAGAAAATCTATTTTCGAGCAACAGATTGTTTTGCTCGCGAAGGTCTATGTCTACCTGTCTCAGATGGGCCAGGAGTGGCTTGATTTGTGCTCTTAACATCATGTGTCACCTTACTGCTTTCAGCATTCAAACCAGGAAGAGCTCCCAGACCTCCACTTTTGCCCACTATTTTAGCTTTTCTGAGGTATTTTGAACAGAAAGATTGGAATTACTAGACAGATTTAGCTATATCTAGCAACAAAAAAGCAATTGGAACTTATGCTAGGTCTAAGTGTTGTACCTGACAACTTTTTGCTTCGGAGCACCTCTTTTATTTAGCAATGTACCTTCCAACAATCAAAATAGGTTTCACCACCAGATTTTTATACAAAAATCACTAATCTTTTGATAACGGTCCAATTCCTCACCTGATTTAGTAGCCAAAGAAACTGAAGCAGGTTTGCGCTTGCCCCTTTCAGCCTTAATGGAAGCAATCACAGAATCAGCAGCAGGTCCTAAACCTTTCCTCCCTACCAATTTTATCCCAAGCTTTTCAGAAAGATGATAAAACCTCATCTCATCACCTCCTCTCACTTCTCTGAGCTCAAGAGCCTGTTGCTTTGACAACAAGGTGTAAATGTGAAGTTGTTGTTGCTGATTAAAATGTGACTGAAGCTGTTGAAATAGTAGTTTATTGGTATGCTGGTCTGACTTCAGACCATCATGAGCTTTTTTACGAGGCTCACTAAAAGTCACTCTCAAAATTGCACCAGCACTGGGGTCAGAGTTCTTCTCATAAATGACAGCAAAACTCCCAAATTCCAAATCAGGTTCCCTGAATAAGTCAGCTAGAATGGAAGCACAGGAATGGGCATTCTTCGATGGAGTCTGGTCAATCTTTTTCTTTGAAGCACGAGCATTAGCATGATGAACCATATTAGCAGCTTCTCTCAGCCCAGTCACAAAGGCCCCATGCATAGTTGCAGGATACCTTCTGGTAGTTGCCTCCCCGGCAAAGAAGAGCCTTGCATCTCCCACACTTTCAGCTAAAATATCATAGTCATCTCCGGAGGCACCTACCGCCACATTAGAGTATGAACCAAGGCTAAAAGGATCACCACCCCACCTGGTGCAGACAGTTTGGATAGGATCTGGTACCTTAATCCCCTGCGGTTCATAGATACCTGCACTCCCAGATATTAACAATAAGTGAACAGTTACGGATAATTATCTACACAACAATTCAACTTCATTGCATGAACAGCCCAAGAAACCAGCCATAGTACACTAACTGCTCTCCCCATACCAAGACTTTGTCTTTGATCTAAAAACTCCAAAAGACTAAGAAAAACAGGATCAAGGCAGAAGAAAAGCTACAAATGGTGGCCGCTGGACGTTGTTAATGATTTGCTTTCTTAGTTTACATGGATGGGGGTAAGAGCAGCAGATACTTCACTCAAACTAAGATATCATGCCAATATTAGCAATAATATTTCACAGGGACACAAACTACAACAACAAACGGGCTAAACTTGCAAGTGCCATACAATAAAAGAGAATCAACCAACCAACATTATTTAACTATCATATCAACCACCATAGTGCGAAAGGAACCTAGTGGTGTGAATATATTCATAGATTAGATTCAACCTCAATACACTCATTATCTATTCCAAGTGACCTGCAACAAACTTGCAAGTGCTTCCTGAAGATACTAAACAAATGATAGGTCAGCAAGTAATGAGTAGCTGAATTATGCTCTTTAAGCCATGTCATAAATTTCTTACACTTCAAAACAGACTACAGGCTAAATAAGAAGTTCTCTGAGTTATATTAGAATCTAAAACTACTTAATATGTCAACATCAAATCTGAGCCATAATTTATCCAATTTGCATGCTATGATATCCATCATTTTAGGCAGCATGCTATTTAAATGCGGCCATAATGCATACAGTAACCTCTGACATCCAATATAGTCCATCAACTACATAATATGTCAAGTCCAAATACTACACATAGTGTTTGCACATAGCACGCCATAATTTCTACGTATCTTTTTTTAACAAGTAATACATCTTCTGCAGCTATTTTGGTCCGGCAATACATTTACTAGTCACCTAAAAAATGCCCATGCACCTTCTTTGTCCAATCATGCAATCATGCATTCTCTTCTGTGCATATGTGATATATTGGATAATCATCTCAATGGTCCTAAAAAATCAGACAAGAGAAAATCAGGTAAACTCAGGACTAGCACGGTCCATAAATTTAAAAAGAAAAATAAAAAAAAACAGAATCTAAGTCGCGACATAGATTCAAATGATACAGTCAGATTGCTCAACATAGTAAGGACAATCATATATTTTGGGTAGAAAACATATCTATAACTGAAATATTCTGACAACAACTACACTAAAAGTCCATGATATTGGTTTTCGCAATTATGAAGGATCAATTACATGTTCCACTTTTTCCACTCTTTTTTTAAAGCAAGTTTTTGCACTCATTAACTGGCCATTAATAAATTTATCAGACTCTTGTAAATAAAGCAGAATAGTTTATTTTAATTAAAGGCTGTTACCCTTAAGAATTTGAAGAACCCGCGTCACTGCATCAGTAGGGGGCATGCTCTCGAACTTGTGTGCAGCTTCCCCAGCTACTAATGCAATCAAGAGAGGACCACCTGCAACTGTTGCGTAGCTATAAAACAAAAAGAACTCCCCGCGGCGGCTTGGATCATCTTTTAAGTGTCCAAAGGTGTCAAGATCTGTGCCCCAAAACACATGAGGAAAAAGCATTGCAACCTTATTTAGCAGTCCAAATCCCAGCCTCTTTATCCCGTCAAGCTTTCTCTGAGGCAACTCAGGAATAAACTTGATAGACCCACTTTTCAAAACACCAAGAGGAACGGTACAAAGTGCCATATCACCCTCAAAAACCTGGCTACCCGCCATGACTTGCACACCATCATTGCCATATCTGATAGTATGCACAGTTCTCTCGTACAAAATCGGTACATTCTCAGCCAAAGCCTGAACCAGCCTTCCATTCCCTCCATGCAAAAAACAGTGATCACCTCCCATATCATAAGGATCATCCTGGTCCCAAAATGCAAGGGAAAGCTTTGAGAGCAAACCTGCATTAGCATATTCCAAATTGGCAAGATGCCAATTGAACAAGTTCATTTCCTCAGCATTTACAGCATCCCCATAAACCGGCCTAAACGTTTCCAGGGCAGATCCAAGTGAAACATCCATGGAAACCTCTCCCATCGACTGCCTAAGCCTGCTAGCCTTATCCAAGAGACGATTAAAAGCAGTCTCAACCTTCATGTCGATGTCAGGGTCAACCGGCTTCCCATCCACCCTATAAAGAGGGCATTTATCCCTCACCTTGTGAAGTGGATGCCCTAGCTGCCGAGCAACAATCCCGAGGGGGTTCCCCAATGTCCCAGTCAATACACTTCCCCCTAAATCGGCAGCAGCTGATAATTTGTTCCCCCCTTCCATCTTCTTTGTATAAACCCTCCCACCTGCTCTCTTCCTACCCTCCAAAACTGTCACCTTAAAACCTAACCGCATTAAATGCCGTGCTGCAGCCAATCCTGCAAGCCCAGCGCCGACAATAACCACGCTATGCCTGCTCGGCTCTGCTGGAATCTTCTCTTTAATTGCGGGCGCAACCCCAAAATTAATATACCCATGAGAAACCAAGTAATCATAAGCAGAGTCCAGTAGAGAAGTGCACTGTTTAGGAATCACATCCACAAACATCTCCTTGGTAACCCAATTGGACACATTCTCGCGCCATTTCGCAATGATGTGGTTCCTAATCAAAATATAGTTAACCTGTTCGATCCCACCAATCACCGGCACAACGCCGAAATCGATCTCTTCGTCGGTGAGCGAGTCAGCGGGGAACCCGGCCGTGAGCGCGATCAAGGCCTCACCCGTGGACTCTCTATTGATCACGATGATCTCATCAGAAGCGTCGGGGACAGAGCTAGGGTTTCCCAGAGCGGGCTTACTCGAAGCAGCAGCAGCAGCAGCCGGCGGCAGAGCGGACGAAGAGGCCGCCGATGCCGACGCGGACGCGGAGCCAGGATTACCGGACGACAGCGGCAAGGGAGGGAGCTGGAAGGGAGCGACGTTCCGCTGCGACCGGCCTCGCCGACGCTTCTTGGGGATGGTGAAGGAGAGGAGGGGGTTGTAGGCGGAGCCGGAGGCCGAGGGCGACGCGGAGCTAGGGTTCTGAGGGGAGGGAGGGACGGGGGGCGGGGGAGGGACGGGGATGGGGGTGGGGGTGGGGTTTGGGAGGGGCTCGAAGGGGTAGAACTCGAGGGGAGGGAATTCAGCGAACGGGTCGGGCGAATCGCTCGGAGGCTCCATCTTCGCCGCTCTGTCTCGCTGCGATTCGATCGATCGACAGAGAGAGAGAAAAGAGTAGGGTTTTGGAAGAAGAAATGAGAGAGACGAGAGTTGAGTGAGGAGTGACGACTGAGAAGAGAGCGAAGAAGAAGGTGGGTTTCCTTCCTCTGTGTTTGGTCGGTCGCCGAGAGAAAAACACTCGAACGGTTTTTAGTCGTTACGTCCGTTGGAATCCGAGTTCGAGCGCGCGCTCAAAAGGCGGACATGGAGCTGACAACTGACAAGACTAGACAACCTCGGGATTCGAGGCCGTCGCGGTCGAAGCGCAAAGCCATGCACGAGACGCACGTGCCCCCCCCGAGCGAGGTAATGTGATCGGCTCATTTCTTCTTCTTTCCCTCTTTTTCGGAAAATATTCAATTGAAGGTGTTTTAGTGAGACGGAATCGGGTATCGGGCCAGATTTCGAGTGAAGTTGAGCCCGATTAGATGTTTTTTAATCGGCTTTGATTTGCGTTTCCAATCGATGGGGTGCGGTATCTGAATTTCTTGTGTTGCAATCTTGAGTCTGCGTTTGTCATTTAAATTACTTGGACGGTAGATGATTTGATTAGAGTGATATGCAAATCGCAATTGTTAACACTTTAATCGCATTCGGTTGGATCCCAGTTTGTGTTTTGTTATCTTTTTCTCAAGTTCAATTGGATTAAAGTGCACACGGATCAACTGCAAGACCAATGTAAGATTTGTGAAATTTGCACTTTTATTCTTTTTCACTACTTCTGCCAGTCAATGGGTGGAAGATTACGTTCCCTTCCAATGTAAGAGTTGTGAAATATGCACTTTTGTTAGATCTCTCTTTATATTCTTGGCATCAAATCAATGTCTACATTTGTTCCATTGTTTTAAAGTTGTTTTCTTTTGTGAGTAAATACTTTTCTTTTGCCACCGACCCATTACAGAGACAGGTAGCAATTCTTCATCTTCTGCAGAGCTCAATATGTGCACCAGATGAAACTCTCTTATCCGGATTCAAGATTATCAATCTCACTTACCCTGGAAAAAAGGAAGTACTTACTTACTGATGCGAATCGGTTTCGCTTGGTTGCGAAAAGGTTAGGTTTTGTCGTGCGAAAACAGAAGGATAAATTGGACGAGCTCACCACCAGGTTTGGATATAGGTCGAACCACCACCAAACAAGGATACAGATGCTCAAGGAGGCTCACCACACTTAGAATCCACTAAGTGATACAGAAACCTTAAGTTTTGTAATAGAATTGCAAGAGAAAACTCTCAATATTCATTCAAAATGGTCATCCCTCAAAGTGACGCCCAAGAGGGTTTACATAGAGTTCAATCAGCTTCTAACAACCTTATTTAATTCCTAAGACTCAGCAAAAACTTTGAATCTAAACTTAGAAACTTGAAATCATTAAAATAAAAGAAGTTGGCAACGAGAAGATGACATTTAATGCTCTTGACCAGATTCGCACCACTTCCACAGCAATTAATACTCCAAATTCGGACTGTTCACGCACTGTTCATTAAACCACCAGAATGACTTCAATGCTTCTCTTCAATCAGCAATATATGTGGTGAACTAATTCCATGTAAGCATAATAACAAGTGGGGCACAAGCTGAAGATGTTGGTGTGACGCATGCATCATCCTCCCTTTGCTGAAAAAGATTTGTCTTCAAATCTTGATAATCTTCGTCTGACTCATATGGAGAGAGATCTCGAACATTAAAGGTTGCTGAAACATTAAAATCACCTGGTATATCAATCTTGTAGGCATTGTCGTTGATTCGTTCCAAAACCTTGAATGGTCCTTCGGCTCTCGGCATTAGCTTCGACTTGCGCTTAGAAGGAAATCTCTCTTTTCTCAAATGAATCCAAACTAAGTCTCCTGGATGAAAAACAACAGCTCGCCTGTTCTTATTAGCCTTTTTCTGATAAATCTCATTTTGCTTCTCAATTTGAGATTTGATCTTTGCATGGAAATCTTTCATCACTTTAGCGCGTTGATCAGCTTCATGATGCACCAAATCCTTGGTTGGCAAGGGCAGCAAATCCACAGGAGTAAGTGGATTGATTCCATAAACAACTTCGAAAGGAGAGCACTTTGTGGTGCGATTAGGAGCTCGATTGTAGGCAAACTCAGCATGAGCAAGCTTTAAGTCCCAATCTTTCTGATTTTTGGACACTAAAGTTCTCAATATAGCTCCCATCGTACGATTAACAACTTCGGTCTGCCCATCGGTTTGTGGGTGACATGATGTGCTGAATAGAAGTTTTGTGCCAAGCTTACTCCATAAAGTCTTCCAGAAACCACTTAGAAATTTGCTATCCTGATCTGATACAATAGTGCGAGGAACTCCATGGAGTCGAATGATCTCACGAAAATATAAGTCAGCAATGTGAGAAGCATCGTCGGTTTTATGGCAAGGCACAAAATGAGCCATTTTCGAGAATCGATCCACAACCACCATAACAGCATCCTTTTGCCTTTGAGTTCTCGGCAAACCAAGGACAAAATCCATACTCACAGCTTCCCATGGAACTTTAGGAATTGGCAATGGCATGTATAATCCTTGTGGAAGAACGTGGCTCTTGGCCTTTTGGCACGTCACACGGCGCTTAAGGATACTCCGGACGTCCTTCGCCATATTTGGCCAATAAAAATGTTCTTGTAGCATAGCCAAAGTTTTGTTGACTCCAAAATGACCAGCAATACCACCTCCATGAACTTCTCGAATCAATAACTCCCTTGTGGAACTTTGAGGAACGCACAACTTGTTGTCTTTGAAGAGAAAACCATTTTGGATATGGAAATGATCTGCTGCACCTTTCTTGCATGCTGTAAATATAGGATTGAAGTCTACATCATCAGCATAGAGTTCTTTGATTACCTCAAATCCTAAAAGCTTGGAATCCATCAAGGTCAGAAAAGAATGTCTCCGGGAGAGTGCATCAGCCACAACATTCGTACGTCCAGTCTTGTACTTGATCACAAAAGAGTAGGATTGAAGATACTCAACCCATTTAGCATGCCTTTTATTCAGCTTGTGTTGGCCATTGATGAACTTCAAGGCTTCATGATCTGAATGCAAAACAAACTCCTTTGGCAGCAAATAATGGCTCCAATGCTCCAATGCTTGAATGATGGCATAAAATTCTTTGTCATAGGTTGAATAGTTCAGCTTAGAGCTATTGAGCTTCTCGCTAAAATAAGCGATTGGTCGATTTTGCTGAAGTAGAACTCCTCCAATTCCAATGCCAGATGCATCACATTCAACTTCAAAAAGCTTTTCAAAGTTGGGAAGTGCAAGGACCGGGGCCTCACAAAGCTTCATTTTAATAGCCTCGAAGCTTCGCTGAGCCATAGAAGTCCATAAAAACTTTTCTCCCTTCAAGCAATCGGTAAGTGGGGCAATAATAGTGCTGAAATTTTTAATGAAGCGACGATAAAAAGAAGCCAAACCGTGAAAACTCCTCACGTCATGAACAGATTGGGGTGTCGGCCAGGTTTGGATTGCTTCTATCTTACTTTCATCCACTTGAATGCCTTCACTTGAAATAACATATCCCAAGAAGACAACACTTGAGGTAAAAAAATGACACTTTTTCAGATTGCCAAATAATCGCTGAATACGCAATTCTTCAAATAGCTTCCTCAAATGCTGTAAGTGTTCTTCCTCATTTCTTTGTAAACAAGGATATCATCAAAGTATACAACAACAAATTTTCCAATAAATGGCTTCAGAATATGGTTCATTAGCCTCATGAACGTACTAGGGGCATTGGATAACCCGAATGGCATGACAAGCCACTCATAGAGGCCTCCCTTGGTTTTGAAAGCCGTTTTCCACTCATCACCTTCCTTCATTCGAATTTGATGATAACCACTCCGAAGATCTACCTTAGAAAAAATAGTGGCACCATGCAATTCATCTAGCATATCATCAAGTCGTGGAATGGGATAACGGTACTTTACCGTAATTTTGTTGATGGCACGGCTGTCCATACACATCCTCCACGAACCATCCTTCTTGGGGACCAAAATGGCTGGTACAGAACATGGACTCAAGCTCTCTCGTACGTAGCCTTTGGAGATCAGCTCATCTACTTGTCGTTGAAGCTCTTTAGTCTCCTCCGGGTTGCATCTATATGCCGGTTTGTTTGGTAACGGTACGCCGGGCATTAAATCAATTTGGTGTTGAATCTCCCTCTTTGGAGGTAAGCCGGATGGCATCTCTTCAGGGAAGACATCAGCAAACTCATTCAGCAATGTCATGACTAAAGGATGAATCAAATCTTCATGGACCACATTCTGCTCAAGCAAAAGTAGCGCATAAATTTGTTGCTTCTTCAAGCAAGTTTCACGAAGTTCAGCCTAGCTAAGAAAATGGCCAGCTACTCCATTCTCTTCATGTCGAGCACGTTCATCACAGCTTGGAGACAATGGGGTAAGAGTGATTCTTTTCTCGCCCTAAATGGATAGAATAAGTATTCTTGAATCCATCGTGCATCGCCTTTCGATCATACTGCCATGGTCTTCCAAGTAACAAATGGCAAGCATCCATAGGGATTATATCACACGTAACCTTATCTTGATAATGTTTCCCAATTGAAAATGAGATTAATGCTTGTTTAGTTACCTTCACATCACTCCCCTTGTTTAGCCATTGGAGTTTGTAAGGCTGAGGGTGTGACATCGTAGGTAAACTTAACTTTTCAATCATGGTCGCGGAAGCAACATTAGTGCAGCTACCACTATCAACAATAACATGGCATACCTTCCCTTTGATGGTACATCTTGTTTGAAAGATGTTCTCTCTTTGCTCTTCCATAGGCGCCATATTTGAATTCAAAGACTTGCGAATCACAAGTAGTTCACCATCATCAGGTTGCTCCACATACTCTTCCTCTTCATCTGGATCCCAAATTGGTTCATCTTCTTCGACGTTAGTTTCTACGACTTCTTTGAGAGTGATTGTGCGCCGATTGGGACATTCAGATGCAATATCCCATATCCTTAACATTTGAAACATCTTCTCTCCTTAGCGGTTGTCATGGGCTGAGAATCAACTTTTGCCTTGTCCTTTCTCACCGTGGTCTTCTCAACTTGAAAAGACGAACTCCCTTTGCTGGAAGAAGCTCCCTTTATGAATGGTTTGTAAGCCGATTTCTTGGAGGTGTCTTGTTGCTTCTCAACTTTATAGGCAAGCTTGCATACATCAAGAAAACTCCAATATGGCTGTAAATCCACTGAGTCAGCAATATGTTTCTTCAAACCACCCAAATAACGAGCGATTGTTTGTTCTTGGGACTCAGAAACATCACACTTCATCATGAGTTGTTCAAATTCCCGAGTATACTCTTCAACACTCAGATCATTTTGTTTCAAAGAATGAAGCTTTAAGAACAGATCTTGCCTATAGTTCTCGGGTAAGAAACGCTTCTTCATCTCTCTCTTCATCTTATCCCAAGTACGAATTTTGCTCTTTCCCTCACGAACTCGCTGAGCTTTAAGGTTTTCCCACCATAGGCTTGCATATTTTCGCAATTTCAAGGCTGCAATTTTAACTTTCTTCTCCTCCGAATACTCCTTATATTCAAACACTCTTTCTATTGTATGGAGCCAATCAAGGAAGTCATCAGGTGAGAGTTTACCTTCAAACTCTGGTATTTCAACCTTAATATCAGAGTCATTCTTTTGAGGACGAAATCTGGGCTGCCTCCTTCCTTGAATCTCATCGTCACTTGGCTGCTCGTGAAAAGGATTGTCCTCTTCCTCTCCAGAACTTACGTTGGAAGATGCTGCTCCTCGATCATTCAAGAGCTGCTGCAATTGGCGTCTGAGATCTGCGATTTCACGTTCCATTCGCATAGAGCGAGCTTGTTCAAACGTCAATCCACGTTGAAATTCGTTTGCCATTTCAATACTCAAAGTCTGGAGCGTTTTAGGGACTGTAATAAGTGTTTAGGCTGAAAAGAAGTGATTTTTAGGCTGGTAAGTGTTTAAGAAGGTGAAAAGGGGTGTTTGGAATAGGAAATTTGCACAAATGGAACCTTTTCCCACAGACGGCGCCAAATGATGCGAATCGGTTTCGCTTGGTTGCGAAAAGGTTAGGTTTTGTTGTGCGAAAACAGAAGGATAAATTGGACGAGCTCACCACCAGGTTTGGATATAGGTCGAACCACCACCAAACAAGGATACAGATACTCAAGGAGGCTCACCACACTTAGAATCCACTAAGTGATACAGAAACCTTAAGTTTTGCAATAGAATTGCAAGAGAAAACTCTCAATATTCATTCAAAATGGTCATCCCTCAAAGTGACGCCCAAGAGGGTTTACATAGAGTTCAATCAGCTTCTAACAACCTTATTTAATTCCTAAGACTCAGCAAAAACTTTGAATCTAAACTTAGAAACTTGAAATCATTAAAATAAAAGAAGTTGGCAACGAGAAGATGACATTTAATGCTCTTGACCAGATTCGCACCACTTCCACAGCAATTAATACTCCAAATTCGGACTGTTCACGCACTGTTCATTAAACCACCAGAATGACTTCAATGCTTCTCTTCAATCAGCAATATATGTGGTGAACTAATTCCATGTAAGCATAATAACAAGTGGGGCACAAGCTGAAGATGTTGGTGTGACGCATGCATCACTTACACTGTGTTGTGCATAAAAGGAGAATAGAATGAAAAGCTTTATCAGGGCAGAATGAGGTTTTTATATTTGATAAGCCAAGAACATCCATGTCAAATATGGCACTACACACGAGCAGCAGCAGTTAGAAAGCCCATTTAGGTAAAAATGCACGACCGAAGGGTATCGTAGCTTGGCACAACACTCAATATTGCACAAGCTCGGCCCAATTAGCAAGCGAGGCCGGTGCATTACCTGTTTGCAGAAGACATTGGACGCGATAGGCTCGACCAGACCAAGACATGACACAGGCTCATGCACAAAGGTTGGCAAAAGAGGAGGAGAATATAGTAGAATTAAAAACCAAGGAATCAACCGGAAATCACAAATCAAAATACTAGCAAAACATCAAAAGGGAATATGGGCAAGTGGATAGAGAAGCCCTACAAAATCAATGTACACTCTGGCACAAGAAAATTATTTTCATAGACAGGTGTTAAGATATGATCTCGTGTCCAATTCAAGTCTATGATTGTATTAATAGATTTCGATTGCATTATGTGCAGATCTTAGCAGAGCCTGTTTTCATGAAAAAATGGACAGAAAATTCAATTTCTAAAGTCCTCCAAACGAAGCTAAAACTTCTTGCAATAAAAATTAATGACCATGAGGTTCCTATTCTCCTCAATATATACTCAGCCAGAAATGCTGCAACAGAGATGACTCTACCGGCTCTTACAATTTTCCATCTCTGGTATGAATGTCGAACAACTGTAACTGCCTCTCGTGGTTTAATCTTCAAGCAATAAGTATGTAGTTCAACCAGCAGCTCAGAGGGCGGGAAGCAAATGCTCAAACTCTCCATGACAATGAATATCTTTTCCCATTTGTCTTGAGTGCTCTTGCAGGAGAAACTTCAGAGAAACTCAGTCCAGCATGAGCAGTGATTTCTCAGCTCTTCCAACCCAGTGCCTGAAGGTCAACTGGTTTCAATTCAACATGTTTCCCGAGCCTGAAATGATAACAAATCAGACAAAAAGCTATAATGAATTTCACTACCTGGAAGGTAGTTAAACGAAATGATAACATAACTTCATTTCCCAGTAGAATGTGCTATAACGTAAATTAGAGCTATCAGCAATGACTGGTATGAAATTATCATCCCATGCAAAACATGCATTCATAATTGTGCTTGTGCATGAAATGCATTAAGAATGAAACAGTGTACACTGGACACAGAGATGACAAAGGGGTAGAGTTAAGAGGAGTTACCCAAGATCAGCTGGAAGTCTGAAACCCCCAATTCGGACTCGCTTTAATGAATAAATCTGGAAAAGCAAACAAGAGGTAAGTTCTTCTCCATGAAAATATGTTAGCACCTGCAGAGAAATTATTATATGTTCTATAGACCAAGTGGATCGAGATCATTCGAACCATTAATCATGTGGGTCCCACCGGCAGGCCCACATGATCAACAGTCTAGATGGGCTTGGTCTACAGACCATGCCATATTTTTCCGCATCTGCAAAAATGAGTTTGTTCCCCCACCGACCAATCTAACCTGAAGTCCAGCATTTTTCATAAGCTCTCTGACTTCATGGTTCCTCCCTTCATGGACCTGGAGATGCCCAATTAGATAAATAATGTTATATGACATGAAAGCTACTCCAAGGCAATGAAAAGAAGATGAATTATAGAGACAAAAGACGATTTATATTGTTCGAGTTTTCTCATTTTGTGTTTGGAACCGAATAACGTGTTTTTTGTCACAATGGTTTTTAAAGAGACAAAGGTACCACAATCCGAAGACGATGTCTTGAATTATCTGGCTGCCTTGGCAATAACTCCACAGAGTCCGGGATGCAGTGAGTTCCATCGACAACTGTTCCCTGACTGAGGGCTATTAAATGTCGCTTGTGCACCTCACCATCTACAGCTGCAATGTATCTGCAATTCAGAAACAAAACCAAGGTCAACTCTCAAGTATGGTGAAATGGAGAAGTAACAACTTAAACTATTATAATTCTCACCCATATGATATATATCATTTAAAAAAACAAGCATATGGAAGTGAAATTCCGCAGATTTGGAATGAGAACCCCAAAGATTGAGAACTATATCCATAGCATCACGCAATTTTCTTCTTTTCATAGTTTTAGAACCCGCATTGAAGAAGGAATCATGTAAAACACTTACTCCTTAGATAAATTTGCAGAAGGATGTGAAATTTTTTGAGAAAAATCTCCTGCAGAACATAGCACAAGGAAAAGTTTAACATAATCCATGGCATCTTAAACTCAAAGAAGCTTCATGTTCACATAAGAATAATCTGTTGCAGCGTCTCCTTAACTATCATACCATCATTAGTCACAATGATCAAGCCAGATGTGGCAACATCGAGTCGGCCAACAGTGAATAGTCGGGGTTTGGGTAGTCCGGGATTTCTCTTGCCCTAAAATGAAACATTATTTTTTCCTTAGCTTGCAAAAATGAACAGACGTGCTATAAGTCACAGATTTTATAAGAACTCGAAGCTCCCAATAAAGAAGCCTCTGCAGATACATAACATGTCTAGGAAAATCCTTCAAGTTGCACAGAACAAGACAGGGCCCTTCCATTGACATATGGACTGAGCTACGAGTATTTTCTTTTAGGCAGATATATAGGGAAGATAGAGTACATAAATGATTAATCAGTAGAGAATGGCACTCTGTCAGTCAAGTATGGATATATGGTACGTACCAAGATCTTCAGATAGTCATCAAACAGCTCCAACACGGATTTAGACTCTTTCTCCCCAGCAGAGCAAATGTACCTGTCAGTATTTTCAGCATTAGCTTATGCCAAAAGAAAGGAGAAAAATAACCTAATAAAATGTTCCAGAATAAGCTATAGTGTTCAGCGTTAGCTGCAAACCCTTTTGGCTTGTTCAGAGCAAGGTAGACCTTTGGCGGCAACTTTTTGGGCAGGCGGTTCCCATTGACATAAATGGCATCCTTCATAGGATCAACTCGAGTCTGCATCAGTAAAATTATTTCAACAGCAGAAATAAACAAATTGTTGAAGATGAAGTTATCTCAATAGCCAAGTTTTGACTTTGATTGTGATAACTTTTGTCCTCATTTTGCAAAACCACATTAACAACATGTCATCGCAGGAAGCTTCAAGCACTTCTCTTCAATTTCTTGTTTCTCCACTCTTGGAAGAACTATGAGGACCCAGAAAACTAACACCCATTTTGTTCTTCCTTTTCGCCTTCTTGTTGGTGGGGAGAGCATGAAAAACTTTCTCACGAACTATAACGCTGGTTATTAAGTTCAGTCGCAGTTGCCAACAGTGTTCTCTCAACACCAACTTATGCACAAATGACATAATTCTAGAAACAACAAGAAGGCAATTCTTTTTAAAAGGAAAGAGGACCGTGGTAAACAAACACTAACATTGGAGCTGACCTGAGGGGTCTTACACACAGAGCCATTAACAGTGACCTTGCCTTCGAAAATGAGCTCCTCACTGCTCCGTCTCGATGCCACTGTCGACAACAACAGCGCATAAATTCCAAAATGATAAAGACATCTCAGCGTCTTTCCATTAGAAGGCACAATCCATTTCATAAAGAATCTACAAAGGAAAAAAAATGAAAAAAAAAAAATCTCCACGAAGACATTTGTCAACCAAGAGCTTTCACACGCATATTCGCAAACACATTAGTGACACTTGAGCCAAAGCAGTGTACGCCTGAGCTAAGAAAACCAGAAATTTGTTTGAATTACCCCCGGCAGCAGCGAGAACCTTGCTGAGGCGCTGCGGGGGATCCCTGAAATTATCGTTGTAGAACCGGCGCGCCGCCTTGGAATACTTGGGCTCCCCGCCGGCCGCCGCCGCCTTGGGGTGCTTGGGCTCCCCGCCGGCCGCCGCCGCCTTGGGCTTATCCTTCTTCTTCGCCCTCTTCTCCCCGGTGTCGGCGTGGGCGAGAGCGTGGATGAGGCGGGCGGGAGGGTGGGACTGGAGCTTGAGCTGGCCGTCCTCGCCCCGGAGTATCCAGGGGATGAAGAGCTGCTGGCCCGCGCCGGAGATGAAGCTGCAGTCGCCGGAGCCGGAGTCGGGCCTGGGCTTCGGCTTGGGCTTGGGGGGAGCGAAGGAGATGTCGAACTGTAACGGAGGTGAAGAGGGAGAGGGAGAGGAAGAGCAAGCGATGCGAGGCGCGAGGGAGAGGGAACGGGCAGGGCGTCTGGGGAAGCGGAAGGACTTGGAGAGGGACGACCATGAAAGGCTTGCGGTCATTGTCGTCGGTGGTTGGGTTGCGCCGGTGCTCGATCGACCGCCGGAGGAGGAGGAGGCGGAGGCGGAGGAGGATCCGGGGTGGTGGTGGCTTATCGGCAATCTAATGCATTCGATATCGTTCACATTTCCGTTTGGATTTTGTCACCGAACCGCTCCACCAATCACATTCGATATCTCCTTTTCTCTTTTTGTCTTGTTCTAGACATCGTAAATTTTTTCTTTTTTTTTATTGCTCGATTAGACATCGTAAATTGAATCTAGTTTTTTGTAGTAAAAATTGATCCCGCCATTTTTGTAATTAAATTTATTTTTCAATGTTTCCGAAGGGCACTAAATTACTTACGGAATCTTGAAGCTGACTTGGGTAAAGATTATTTATTGGAATAATCACACAAATGGATCTTGAACTTTAATTCAATGGGCAATATCATCTTAAACTTTCAATCTATTTAATATATTCTCTAAACTTTTGGTACATATTCAATTTTGCTTCAGGATTAAATTGAATCCGGAAATTTTATAATTCAGAGACCAGATTGAACATTTACCAAAAATTTAGGAACCACATTAAACAGATTAAAAATTTATAGATGTCATTTCTCGTTGGACTAAAATTAACCAGATGGATTCAATTAGCCAAAAATGAAAATGTTAAGTTCGACCAAGAAAAAGGAAATGTTTAAGACTAAATTAGCACAGCTAAAAAGTTTATAACTGAATTGGCACAGGTACAATAGGTTTATGACTTTTTTAATACTTTTTCCCATAAAGGGTGGTAGTAATTTTTCCAATACTTTGATGATTTTATTAGAGGTGAGCATGATTTTAGAGTAGAGCCTGAAATCAGAGAATTAGGAATCAGTCCGATTCCAGGTTAAAAAAATTAGAGAATTGGTTCTTACGGGCAGGTTCCAAGTTTCGAGTGGAATAATTTTTTGTGTTTTCTTGTTTTATGTCTTTGCGCAATCCTACGGTATCACATGGCGCCCGATAAAAAGTGTGTATTATAAAAGCACTAGTTTGAGCTTCTATTTCCAACGATATTCATGATTGAGAATTTTAATCATATTCTCCGTGTGTCTAAATATAAGTTGTGGTCAACAAATTATAATAGATTATTTAGAGGTGATGATTCACTACAATCGTGCAATCACTCAATTAAGAATACATATAAAACTTAGATAGACCCGAAACTATAATAGGGTAAGTTCCAAGGTATACATGATATGCTTCAAGTTCCAAAAAATGATAAACTTTTTCTGACAAGTAGATTTTAGGTTTCGGGCGGAACCTGTAAGGAATCCGAAACGGCTCATCCCTAACTTTTATATCTATAACTTTCATTTCCTTTTCACTATTAACCATTAAATCGTATCGGTAAATCTCGGATTTGTATAATATAACGTACAGAACGCAAGGAGGAAAGTCAGAAATTGTGAAATGCTAGCAAATTGCAGATAAAAAAGGGGAAAAGTACAAAAAAATTCATAAACCTATTGCATTGGTACCAATTCAGTTATAAACCTTTCAATTTGACCAATTTAGTTCTAAATCTTTTCACATTGTTACCAATTCAGTCTATCTAGCCAATTTAGGCCGAAAATCGCTAACGTGGATGCCGGCGGTCCTACGTGGTGCCGCCGGCGCTGACGTGGACAAATTTTATAAATTTTTAATAATTTTTTCAGATTTTTTAAATTTTTTATAGATTTTTTTCTCTTTTTTTTTTCTTCCTAGAACTGGTCGGTCGGCGCCGGCCACAAGCTGGTTTGGGCGAGGGCCCCCATGCCCTCGCCGGCCAACCAGTTCTGTGAAGAGAAAAAAAAAGGAAAAAAAAGAGAAAAAAAGAAAAAACATTAAAAAAATCTGAAAAATTATAAAATTTGTCCAATTAGCGCTAGCGGTGCCACGTAGGACCGCCGGCGTCCACGTCAGCAATTTCTGGCCTAAATTGACTAGATGGACTAAATTGATATCAATATGAAAAGGTTTAGGACTAAATTTGTCCAATTAAAAGGTTTATGACTAAATTGGTACCAATGCAATAGGTTTAGGATTTTTTTTTGTACTTTTCCCGATAAAAAAGATATTACTATACTGGCGAAAAATCTATGAGGCCAAGACTGTTCGAGCCCGGCTTTGACCTCACTATAGCGAAGCCCCGGTTTATTAACACCAAAAGAATCAGTATAGTATAAAATTCTGATGCATGGAGGACCTGATTACAAAGAAATAAACAAATCACAAAAGAAAAAATATAAATATATCCTTCTCGATTTGTCAAGAACCGTTATTAAGTCAAACCCACGTTATCCCCAGTCAGTCACGATCCTGAAACAATAGGGGCAAATTCTTTCAATTTATCAGCTTCGATCTAACCACGTAAACCGTTAAGAACTTCAAAACACTGAAAGCAACAAAAGCAAAGAAATGCACCTGTCACTTGTGTTTCCCGTCGTGAAATTGCGCATTTCTTGATGACTTGAAAGTTTCCAAAAATTCTTTTGCCTTCTGTAGCTCTTGCTTCTTCCTCGACCTGTCCCATTGGTGCTCCGTCGCGAGTATCTCGATGACTCGAGGCAGTGCCCGGCCGGCTGCATCAGTGTCGAGGAACGCGAGTCTTGATCTCCTGGCGATGAAATCGACAGCAGATTCACAGTACTCGTACCGAGCACAGTACGCGACTTCAGCCTCTAAAAAAGGATATCCATGTGCCAGCCTCTTACCCAAACCTTCATCCTAAAAGTATACGAAAGAGAATAATGTGAGAACGATCAGTGTACTTGAAGGTCAATCACCCGATATAATGAACTAGTTGAAGATTTCAAGTGTTGAGATCGACAATCAGTACAGAAAATATCAAAATTGGCTATGCTCGATAACATTTTTGCAAAGGCTGCGAAAAAAAAGGCAAAGATAAAACTGCAAAAGAATTTAATTCCCACAAACTTTGGTTGCAAAAATCATGAGTGTCAAATGCTGTACATATGTTCTTCAATACGATGAAGCTAACTAAACAGCACACCTGCAAGAAACCAAAACCAAACAACTGTAATCTAACATAAGACTGAAAAGTATTCAAATTTTTTCAGCCTGAAGCCATAATCAGCACTGCAAAGCCCTTGATGTGGCAGGTATCGAATCACAGTCACACAATCAACCAACTAGCTTTGGGGTTGTTCCTAGCATCTTTAATGGCGATCATCAGGATTCGCCACTACCGAACAATATTACCAGTGGAACCTCCATGTCTTAGTATGTTTGCTAGAATTATAGCTCAAAACAAGATCAAGGATTTATTATTCGGACTTCCTTATGATAGTGCCAGAAAATATTGATAGTCTTCGCATTATCATCCTTCAAACATTGTTGTAGACACTAACAACAGTTGTCTCAAACCACATAAATTCAAGCAGCAGTGTATACTTCTTTTCTTCTGGTCAATTTTCTTAACCAACTAAAAGGCTGTTAGTCCTAACTACGTTAATAAAACTTCTAGAGGTCACAGATGATGGAGGTTCCAGCATGTACAAGGATTTAAGTCTTCTGGTATAAATAGGTAGACATAATTCTAAACCAAATCTTGGCAAGAAGTTAAACCTGAGCTATAGTTGCCACTCTTTCAGCAAAAGTTCCATATGCACGAGACAAATGCTTGGCTGCAGTAGTGTCCATCACCCCAGGAACAACTTTTCCAACAGATGTCCTTTTCATTCGTACATATTGCTGAGCAAGCACTGTAAAAGATGCAGGATCCCATCCCTCTCCCCCAACCAGTCGGAGGTAACTAGTAAGACATTCATTAGCTGGCTTTAGCCGTCCAGACTGGATAGCTGCATTAACTGCATCTTCTGCCATGCTGAAACTCGTTACATCAATATAAATACTAGTTGATGAGATATGGAAACAACGATTGCTCCGCAACAGCATCAACAAAGTACATTAGCTGAATCTAGTAAATGACTTTGCCATTAGTTGGTAAAACCACAAAAAAGAACCATGAAACTAGAAAAATACCTCCGATATGTAGTCCACTTTCCACCTGTGATGGTGACTAAACCAGGGTGATCTTCACACACAACATGATCTCTAGATATACTCTCAGTGTTTTTGGCTGAGGGATCCATTGCCAATGGACGAATACCACTCCATGCAGAGAGAACATCCGTGCGTCTTACCTAAATTAGGCAAAAATCCTTCAAATCCCAGAAACAAGTATGATAAACGGAAAAGCACTGAAGTGCTTAAAAAATCAATAGTATCCTCATGTTTTCTAAGATCAATCAATAAAATTCTCAACGACAAGTAGTGATTACTATGCCTAGATATTCGCTCAGCTTTTGACACATCTATTATTAGTTCAATCAAAGCTACCATGCATTGCCAACCCAAATTATGAAAGTTTAGACAACATAACCACTTAATGTAAATCATGTACTTCTGTACAAACAAAAAGATTTCGATAAAATTCCAGTACAGCATATAATCTTCAGCTCCTAAAACTGAAATCAGATCTCACGCAAATGAAAGTTATGGTTCCACTTTCTGCAGGGGAAAAGCTGACGAAATGATGTCCAAGAAAAAGCTCCAATTCATAATATTATTGACATAAGTCAACCAATATAAGTAAAGGATCAATTAAACAAACTTAATTCCCAGGAAATTCACAAATTGCATTAAGATGCAGAAACCGAAACAGCTAATATAACCCAACCTTGACATTGAGGTAATCACAGATGGCATCGAGTATAAACTGAATCTCATCTTCATGAGGTTCAGGTAGCATTGTGATTGTAGTGTTAGAGTCTGTAGTGCCCGCGACAGTTCTCCCCAACCACGGAAGCATGAAAATAACTCTTCCATCTTTAGTTTTAGGAACAATCAAGCCCATGCCTTCTGGAGAGTAGTAGTCAGGGAGGACAATGTGTACACCACTGCTAGGACAGATCATTGGCTGTGCATCTACTTTAGCCATCTTCCTTACAGCGTCACAAAATGGACCAGCAGCATTGACAACAACTTTTGCATATGTGTCAAACTCTTGACCTAAGTACAGAGGTCAGCAAGTCATTACATTAAAAAAGACTAGAACTATGAGGGAAAATCAATATAATACTGAAGGAACAATTACTAAAGAACAAGATTGATTAAAAAATGGAAA